AATCGTCACATCCTGTGCAAAAAGATAAATATTACTTTGCATGTTCTGTAAAAGCTGTGTTACTTTATGTACCCACAGGAGGCAGGCTATGCAGTCACATACAGAATGTCATTATTATTATATATGCAGTAAAGCATCCTTCATAATTGCTCATTAAAACAGCTGGACACACATATGAAAAACTATAACGGCTCTTCAGTGCGTTTGTTCTACTTCTTGTTTCCAATGCCACTTCTCCACTCATTTTTCTCTGCTCTGAGCTCTCATACTTTATGGCTACTGTTTCCCAGTTAAAGGGTCACTATAACTCTTTTCCGACGGGGGACCTTTCTGGTATAATATGCCCTATTGGGCACTGTGGAGAAAGTCCCCCCTCTCAACTCGTAGTACAACTTGCAAAAAAAGGTTTTACTCACCGGGAATCCAGTGATTGGCAAAGCTTTCAGCGCTGATCTTCCACGCCCCCTCCAACGTCACTGGGGCTGTATGCAGTCCAATCACAGGCTTCTCATAGATATCCCTGTGATTGGACCAGTTCGCCAGCTCAGAGCGCATGTGTGTGCTCCGGAGAGGGAAGCAAGGGAGTAGAGAGGAGGTAGGGAGGGTTTTTGAAAAAAATAAGGTACAACAGATGGAATGTAGAGTGGGCGGGAGAGGAGAGCTAGCTTCTCCTTGCAGGCACTTCATGTCTGTCGGCAGCGTGCAGTGCGCCTAATGACAGACTTTGTTTTACGCAAAAAATTTACATTGACAGCTTAGAACTCTCTGCCAATGTCAAGGGGGCTGGGAGTACAACTAGCCCCCAGCACACAATTACAAATATTTCAGCATGTGCAGTGTTTCAAGGTCCATGATCACTTCAAATCACTGAAATGGTCATATTTGGTTGAAGTACCTCATTATTCAAGCATTCAAATCAACTAGTTTTTATAGGACTATTTTTTCAGACTAAATTGTGACTACCAACCTTAAATATGATTTTTTTTTTTATGGCTGTCATATGGTAAATTTGGCACCATTGAGGACCAGCAACAGTGTAACAAATAGTTTTCTACAAATTAATGTATTAATATGTCTGTAGGGAAATAACTCGCTCTTCAGGCTTTCCCAAGTCTGGTGAAAAGCTGGCATAGTACCATCCCTTAAAAGCCAATGTTTAATAGAATTCTGTAAACCATAAAGTCAACATTAAATCATGCAATTTAAGAAATTGTTAAAATTGTTAAAGAAATATAGTAAATAGCAATTTTTTGCAAAATATTTTTCAACTTGGAAACTTATTTTAAGACTGAGAATGCGGAATTAAAAATAAAAAGTATTAAAAATACATTCAAATTGAAAAGAAATTCCCTCCACTTGTAATGTATTCTCTCCTAGATATACAAAAACAACTTCTAAAATCGCAGTGTGCAGAAATAAATAATAACAAATTTAGTTTAAGACACAGAGATGAATAGGAAGTCATTCTATATTCCCACGTTTGACTGAGTGCTCTCATTTAATACGTTTCCAATGGCACATACACTCAAAGCAGCAGTGGCAATATTGTATAATTTTATTTACAGATTGGCCTCATCAAGTAAGGAATAATAAATCTTTTGATCTCTCTCCTTTGCCTGGCTGTCTTTTAATTTAATTCTGCAAGCTGTGATTTTAGTAGTTCTTTTTTATATATCTAGGCGAGTATTTAGGATAGATACTTTAACTACATTACTATTTTATTTCAGTAGGTGCCAGACTTGTCAAAGTAAAAAAGGAAGAATGTTGGTCTTTATTGCGATTATTCATAAATTAGCATGTTGTCCCAAATAGTGCATTTCATTCAACAAATGTGACCTCAAAGTATTGCTCTTAGCACCAGGATCACTTTACATAATTGAAAAGTTGATGGCACAGAGAGTACCGTGAAAGCAATCTCTGATTAGAACTACAGCATTTGTAGAAGACTGCAGTCTTAAGATTCACCCTCAAATTTGACAATTAAACAGGCAGAATGCTATTTTTTTGTCTGTCCTGATATGACTTTTCACCAGGCTGTATATGCGACGTGTGCACACCACACATCACTCTCTGTAAGTAAAACAGTGAAACTGCTAATGTTTCTCAAATTTGTGTGTAAAAAATATTGGCATAACTACTGCCAACTGACCTCATAAAACCAAAGGCCGATAAGGGAAGATGGTTCTAACCTAGATGAGGAGATCACCAGTTGTGTAATAAAAATGTTCCTCTACTGGTGAAAGTAATGTGCAAGTGACTATCTACCATCTCTGTATAGATCTCTTTTATGCTGCTTCATCATATCGCGCAAGTGATCAGATAGAAACTAAAGTAGCAAGACATACCAGAACACAGGACACCTATACAACATACTAAAAAATATGAGCACAATGAAGGAACTATTGCTGTAAGAGTCCTCTCTTGCATTATGTCAACAAAAATTCTTAAAAGTGTAGATAATGAAGAATGGAGAATATGTCAAGGAAGGAATCTGAGTATGTTTTTTTTGTTTGTTTGTTTTTTAATTACTCAAAGTACAGTTAAGGCACATTCTTTAGTGTGTTTTCTTTTTAAAACAATTTGGGTCTTCTCTAATGTGCTTTCAATCTCAATTGATAGCTCAGCAGGTAAACTCAACTTTCTTTGAACCACCATCACATGTCAGCTTAGGATCTAATTAAATCTATGATTAAGTGTTACTTTTAATCAAATGGGAATATGGCGAGATGGGTGCTGCAGGAAATAAAAATCTTGAACATTTGCACCATGAGTAAAACGTTGAGCCCAGTGATGTTTTGAAGCCACATCAAAGTGGAAATGTAATGTTTATTTCACATAAATTATGCACCTACTTATGTTGTATGACCAAACAAAAATCTCCATGGCAATTTCAAAATATTGTATCCATAACTTCTAAAACACAGCAGGTATTTACTGAGTTATAACTAAATGATTATTAAGAGTCGGCGCACTGGGCTTTAGAAGAGCAAACTTTTGTGGCTTTGAACTGATGCCTGAGTTTTATTGAGGTAGCATAGTTAACCAAGCTATCAAAATTATTGGCATTACATTCATCCACATCATGACCGTAACAAGCCCACAACTGAAGAATTGCAAATTGTCATAATACCTGTCTTGCTGTGACTGCAATATGGGAAAATAATAAATAATAGCAATTGATTTCCCATACTGACATAATTACTAATTATCCAGCTCACTTTCATATCTTCTAAGACATCTTTTTCATGTGATACTCAGGTTTTTATTTTTCAGTATATACTCAAATACTTATCTAGTTATGTCACAATTCAGTTTAGTCCAGGCACAATCTGAGTGTACAGAAACATTGTCTCTGCTTCAATTTTTGCGCTAACTGTGACATCGATTTAATTAATATTGTTTTATACGTTTTCCAATGATTATTTTGATATTATTTTGTTGTGCAAAATATATTTATTTATATTTTAATATGATGAATAAATCAATTAAAAAAGTTTATCCAAAAATATTAAATAATTTTGAACACTTAACCAACAATATCAAATCAAGGCCTATAGTTGATCACATCAAAGGTCAATACTTCTAACATAGATTGACAGGAAGCCAAGATGGAGGCACCATATTACAACATAGAGGTTAATACGACAATGTGGATTTCTACATTAAATTTATTTGTTAGACCTCACAAATACATATTTGCTAAATATTGGAGATGCGTAAACATAATATTAGAAAAATGTGATAGTCCTTCTTTAAGTCAAATTCACAAACTGTCTTCATTCATATACAAGATTAGACTACTCAGTTTTAATAAAATGAGTGCACTTTTTATAACAATCCATCTGTTGGGAAAAGCAGCTCACTAGATAATTCATATGGTGTACAGACCTTACTACAAAGAATTTTGGATAATTACAGATTATCCCTGAGGTCTGCAGCTTCAGTGGGAAAAGAGTGACCTACATGTGAAATGTGCAACATTAATATTGTATGTTTTCAGGAATACCTTACGCTAACTCAGATTTATTATCCACATCCTTTCACCGGGGTATATTCTTAATCAAGAAATTGTCATTCTTGTCTAATACCAGAATTTAGAATTGCGTGAATCTACCCCATACTTTATAGTTACAAAAACAGGTTAAGGGTTAGAGCATTCCTTCTTTTCCAAACTTGTATATTAGTAGACAGGATACCAAACAAATCATCCCTTTCCATTCCAGATGTAGGACTCAACCAGTTGTGTACATTTGAACTCTATTCTCAAAATAAGGTCTTGAAAAAAACTACTGAAAACGAATATTTAGTAAGGGCTAACGTTGCGAAAAATGATTCAAACAAGCTCTGTAACTCATTATTACCAGGTGAATCACAATATATCGAAAGCTGTAGATTGTTTTGCAATGCTTCACCATTTAATTTCAACACTCTTTATATTACCCATCATGCATTATGACATTTATCAACTATTTTGAAAAAAAAAATACATCTTTCCATTCTGAACTCATTAACACAAACCTTTGGTGAAGAAATGAACCGTACATAGTGATGACATATACAGACAAATCTTTTAAAAAGTTCCCTGTTGGTTATTTTAAAAGATGGAAAATATTATTTTAATTCACTTCTTTCATCTCTCTTACAAGATACGTACATTCCTGGCTGGTGTCTCAGTTTAATGACTTTTTAAAGATGAGACAGAATCACGCAGAGACAAGATGGATGAACAATCGCTTATAAAGTGTCCTATTAAAAATTCAAACATTTTAAACATTGTTTTCACATTTTGCAGCAGATGATGGAATTATGGGATTGACTCTCTAAAAAGAATACTGAACAGCGATTTTCCCATAGACTTCAGAAGAGGAATTGCTATTCAGTGAGCCCTTAATCTGCCAAGAGAATACAGCTCCATATGTTTTGCTAAAGAAACTGAATTCAATTTAAAATAAACAAAAGTATTTATTAATTTCACAGACTGTACGTTTTAGTTAACAGACCTTCCTCGCAGTTACTTCCAGTGAATCCAGGGCAACATCTCCATTCCATAGTGGTCACTGTACGGTAGGACATTTTATATAACGGCCTGAGAACGGTCCTGTAACTAACAAAAGAATCGAGTTAGTTATGCAGTGGGAAAAAAAAGAAAGAAAATAATAAGAGAACTAAAAATAAGAATTACAACAAAAATGTATATCTGCGCAAAAAGAACTGCTATATTTCTAGAATCTACATGGGGTTACATCATAATGAAACAGTTTATATACAATGTTGCCACGTTGCCATTATCCTACTTGAATCCCAAGATATATTTATGACAGCTTGGAATACCCTACTTATTTGCTTTCACAGCTTCATGCACTCTTGTTGTCATTAAAGGGACAGTGTAGGGACCAATATCACTTAATCTTAAAGAGACACTATAGCAGGGTGACGAGATCCACCATGTTTTCTGGGACCCAAACTATATATACATATTGATGGGCAGCATATCAAAAGTGTAGCCCTGTAGTATGCTGAATTCAGAAGAAGGTCTAAAAGATCAAGCAATCAGGCAATAAAGAATCCTGTAGAATATGCATTGCACATACTGCAGGGCAACTGTTTTCATGCGTTTTCATAAATATGACAAAATTACATGTGTCCGGTGGATCTGGTCAACCTGTACTATAGGCACCCAGACCACATGATCTCAATAAATCATCTACACATGAGTTGAGTGTAAAAGGCGGAGTGCAGTCATGGAGATCGACGGTCACAGAGATACTCATTCTTTCATTAATAGATGTCCCTTTAGAGGATGCTATTAAGTTAGGAATACAATTTTGAATTCCTAATGCTATAGAATTCCCTTAACAAAATTATTTTGAGGCATAGTTTCTGCCCTGCAGACTTGCAAATACAAACAATGTTGATTCTGAGAAATGTTGTATGTGACAAGCATATTTAAACATGAGGTGCAGTTCCGACACCAGCATCATACAATGAAGCCAGTATGTCAGCGTCACAGAGGTGGTTTCCCTGCTTGGGGTAGCCTCCTTAAGCAGGGCAAATTAAAGAAGAGAGGAGACAGAGCATAAGAGGCAGAGGAGAGAAGATCCATGGATGTGAGGACATGTTGTTCCTAGATCTTAGGTAAGATGAGTTTATACCTAAATATTTTACATAAAATACATCGTGTAATTCTGTGATATATTAAGCATTTAATGCTTTTGGGGGATTTATGTTAATGTAAAACTGTTCTCTTTAACAGATACGATGTGCCTCTAAACAAACGAGATCAAGATGGCTGTCCTTTGCAATCTTTTGTTTAGTAATAATAATTTAAAAAGTTAGTTTATTTTAAGAAGGTTAAATTTACTCCTGCCAGCCCTGAGTTGTGTTTTCTGGATTGTGGAACGTTGGGAGTGAAATCAGCTTTGTCACTTTGCAGGTTTTATGTTTCAATTAATCTTTCTTTTTTTTTGTCTCTCTGTTTCTCTTTGTTTTGATTTTTTTGAAATTCACCTTGGATTTTTAGTTATACATAAGAAAAAGTACAGACTACTTTTTTTTATGGGGAATGTGATCTTTAGAAATTTTTGGCAATGGGCTGAGCTTAAACAAAATTCTATTTCAAAATGTGTAAGTTGCTATGGTGGAGAGCCACATTTTGGAGTTTTAAAGTTATTTATAGGATAAAATCGCTAAAAAGTTTTTGCCACCAGAATACATTACTCAGCGCCTTATAACACATATTTTTAGTCACCTAAAAATTCCATTTCAGTTGCAGTCAAAAGTATTCCACAGGATGGTAAGATGCATTCATCATGGATGCAGGAGAACAAAATGGAGGCGTTCATGTACTTATATCTAAAAGCAAGTGGCAGTGTAGGCAGGCAGGGAGGTAGTATAATCATTAAGACACAAAGGGGCATAAGAAAAAGAAAACCAAAAGGAAAAATAAAATATGGCAGTGCCACCTTAAACATCTCATCTGTTTGAATTTCCAGTTCTGATTGGAAGCCAGGTCCAGTCTATCACGTTATGGTACATGTGGAATTAACAAGGCTCTCTAGAGCGGCCAATACTAAATAATCAGGACAATCCATGCTGGCATAAGGAACCAGATTGCAATGTTAACAATAAATTATTTTCCTCCTTAAGTAGTCGAACTGCAAGAATAGCTGACTTCCAGAATTTGTCCAGTTCAGCTACTTTGGCTTTAAAATTCAAATTCACTTTGATTTCCTAACAATTCTCACTCTAGTAAATACTCCTGCATGAATTATTCCTCCCTCCTCATTTAATCAGTAGGTAGAGCTGCTTACCTCGTTACTAGCAATACGTTCTTGTCATGGGCCCATTTAGTGTTCTACATTCCGGCATATGGCCCTGATCAGATTATTGTGCAATGAACATAAAAAAACAATAACATTTGCCGTCATGGGAAGCAGCTGAACACATGAGCCTTATAGCAAACAGCACATCTGGTTGTGAGAAAACACTCTGATATCAAATTGATGGTCCCCTGGCACCAACTGAGTCACCAGTGGTTTGGCAGATGTAACTGTGAGCAAACTCATGGACAGGATGGCAACCGTTCAAAACCTTCTTTTGGACAGTTTTTCATAACAAGATCAAACTGATTTTCTTTTGATAATAAATATATATATATTTAACCCAGTGTTGAGCGATATGCAGACAACTCAGGCTTTTGCAATAAATGAAAGCTGTGTTGGAGAAAGAACATTATGCATAGGAAGTGCTGTTAGCACTTTGGACAGTAGGTGGCACTATAGCAAATTCAGTTACTTATCAAACCTGAATTTGTTGTCTATTTGACCTCTGCTCTCCTCTTGATTTTCTCAACCACAGATGACAGTTTTTGTTTGACCTTCTTCACTCTAATGCCATGTGATGCTGCTCACACACTTGTGGGAGTGAGCCATGAACGGGTACATATATCGTTTAGTTTTTAAGCTATATGGAATAGTTAATGCATTTCTTTACATGGCTGCCAAATTCCATTGACAAATATACAGAAGTAAGAGTATATGCCACATGTCATTCTATAAAATAATTTGCTTACAAGGCATTTGCATAGCACAAATATGAGGTATGGTGACTGAGTGAGATGTAACATGCATTTTGGGCTCCAGTATCATCAACATGGCTTCACCTGCAGTGACATATTATGAATCAAAGTTATTTAAAATTCGATTTTCCGTATGCTTCCGACTTATCTTTGGATGATAACATTAGTATAGACATATTGTAAGTTAACCTTTAATAGTGGTGGAACACATTTCAACATTCCTCTGTGTATGATTTTTGAAACTTCTATATATCTCTAACCATGTTATTGATGTGTATGTATTCTTGTTCTGTGTCACATGATAGATATCTATGAACAACGCGCTTGGATTTGTAACGAAATTGCTCTGGAAATCGTCTCCTGTAGATGTCTGGTTCTCAGCATTGACTTTGTGCTTGTAAACCGAGTTGGTCCACATGCTCTGTATACCATGCGATATTTGATAATGCTATACAGCTTTGAATGAATGGCATTTCGTTCTTCTCAATAAATAAGCCAGTACCATCCCAAACATTTTGAAATATAATTTCATGAGTCACCCAGAGTTGATAAGTCCTATTTTTATAATTAAATTGTGTTCACAGTAAGAGTGTTTGCATTTTTTATTGGATTTCTGATCTTGGATGTTGTTGTTTGTTGAAAATATTGTTTTTTCTTTTTTAGCCATTTCCAATAGTATTTGAACATTCTAAAATGTTTGTAGATACTTTTCTCGTCTTCATTCCTCATAGTTCTTGGAAAGATACCGACTTTTTAAGTATTGCCGATTTAACACAGAGTGTTGTTTAAATGTGAATGTGTCCATCCATCTTACATATGTCCAGCTCTTAGATGAGATTGTTTTGATTAATGATGTTTCGGTTGCTGGCTAAAATGTAAACCAAGAATCACTGTTCTGTAAGCTTATCTGCAGCTTTGATGACTTTGTTTGTTCCAATGCAATGTCCTCTCTATTGAAATGTTGTTTCTGCTCTTGGGGTTGTAAGTTGTAAGTGTTAAAATACAAAACACAAAAGTGTGATGCTAAAAAGTGTTACCTGTTAGAACATGGACACATGCAAGAAACTATGCTTGTAGTTCCTTTGGCATATATATGCACATTGTGAGGTCAGCACATGAATCCTTAGCTGCAGACATCATTATCAATGCTTTGTCTATTACCACAGGTAATAATGGGATTTATTATTTGTGCTGATAACTCTTGAGCATATATATCACTACTAGGGTGCTATCCATACCATTAGCAATGGAAGGGGTTAATTTCAATGACTTTTCCAATTAATCATTTAGACCAGGGACTCTTAACTTTCTTTTTAGTAAACAGGAACAGTACGAACTGGCATTTCATAAGATGAAAAACTTAATTTCTACCAAAGAATGAAGGATATGTTTCTGTCTTAAATTAGTGTCAGCCTTTACTGTTCTTGGTTACTTTAAGTTTGCCAATTCCTAGTTCAGCCCAACGTTTTACTCTATATGACTACAAGTAAATAAAATTTTAGGGATGACAACCACAATTTGTTCAAAACGTTTGTTATACGGTACAAAGAGACAGATTAACTTCATGCTTGATTAGTGAAAGATCAAAAACCCAGTATAAGAGATATTTAGAGAAAGAAGATAAAAATGAATATCTTGTCTTATGGTTAGCTCCCATTCAGCCGGTTCAAAATTAGTTTTATCTTACTTCCACCATCATTGTTAGGAAAGTATACCACACAGTTTCCCAGCGTACGATAGATACAGCAACTTCCAATTTATGTTTCAGCCTCTTACATGGTTCATCAGTGAGACTTGGATGATATTCATCTGTAAGCAAGGGGTCCACATCTAGATTGTCCCTGTGGATGGACTCCTCATATATGTTAATGGTATAGCATATCAAGAACTCTTGCACTCCAACTAAAAGGTTGTTACCTGGTGCCAAGTCACAAAAAATAATATACACATGAAAAAAATACTGGCACTCCAGGCTTTCCAAAGATTCCTTCTTTATTGATGGTTAATGTAGGTCAACGTTTCAGCTCCCGATCAGAGCTTTCATCAGGACACACAAAAAAGTGTTAATGGTATAGATACCCCAGAAATGGCATGAGTAAAACTAATTTGAGCAAAAACATTTTTAGAGTGACTCTTGGTTTATGATTATAAACAGGGCAGATAATATGATGAGTTATTGTTATATGTAGACTATATTTTTGCATAAGATCATTGAGTTCTTTTTAGATTTCTTGATTATATTTGTTTGTTGTCAATGAAGCACAGCAGCATATTAATTCAGGAAAATACAGCGTATGACACATAAAGGCAAACATGAAATATTATACAGATTAAACATGTTTTGTTTTATCCAAAACTACGAAATGGTATACCTCACAAGATTCGCACAGGGTCCGGGCCATCTGCAGCTTTGATAAACTCTTTGAACCACTGTTTCAGATCCATTTTGTACTTGGCAGGTAACCGTTCTTGTTACAGTAAACTGACACCAGTTTCTAGTAAAAATTGGGAAAATGTGTTAGAAAATGTTCTTAGTCATAAAATAAACAAAGCTTTTACATTTTTCTTTAATCATTTTTTTTTCAGGGAGCAAAGCTGGAACCAAAATAATAGTTACAAGTTTTGCACACTGCCAAGATTGTATAGATGTACCAATCTATTGTTGTCATGTGTGTGAATGAGTTGATTCTCTATACAATATTTTTCCTTGTTAGCATACTGGGGACTTCACCCAGAATGTTTGGATATTTAATGGAACACTAAAGGCACACAGACCACTTCATCTCAACAAAATGGTCTGGGTGCAGAGGCCTGTAGTTTCAACTCTGCAATTGCAATTTTGTAGAGACTGCAATGTTCCGATTGCAGGGTTAAGCACACCTCTAGTAACTGTCTTCCAGATGGACACTAGAGGCGCAACCACAAGAACTGAGAAAAACTCAGTCACGTGAAAAGCATTGAATTTGCCGCTTATGCGCATCAGTTTCCAATGATCCTCGTAGAGGAGCACTGGATTGGTGATCGCATAGAGATGCAAATTATGTTATGGTAGGAGGTGCGGGTCACAGAGCTGAGGGAGTCTCTGAGCTGGAATAAAGGTAAGTAAAAACCTGTTTTTCATGTGTCTACAGCAAACAGGAAGGGGGGAGGGAATGACCTAAAACTAATAGGCACTTGGACAATATAGTGTTAGGAATACAACTTTGTATTCCTAATGCTACAGTGTTCCTTTAAAAGGACCCTGTACTGAAACAGCTAAATGGGTGATATAATGCTCCCATTAGCTTTTGCCTAACTCTACCTAAAACAGGTAAACCTTGCCTCTTGTAGAGGGAACACTGCCCCATTTTCCACCCTTCTATGGTGGTTCTGCCAATATATGTGGCCAGGACTGGGTCCCTATTTCCTGGGATCAGAATGTTCAACCTCACCTATAATGTCAAAAGAGGAGCCTCACCAGTGAAGGAAACCAGTAAGTCCCAAGTATGTGTGTATAATGATCATCTGACATATTATTATTATTATAGGAATTTATATAGCACCAACATATTCTGTAGCGCTTTACCAATCAATCTACAATATAGGGAAGTCGAACCTCATTTGTAGAGGACAAATGCAAACTTACAGGTTTCTACACTGTTTTTTAAATGCATCTCAAATTAAAGATGACTCTTGGCCACCTAAACATTATTTATTTGATATATTCAGATATACCGATGAAGGTAAATCATTCCCGACAACCTGTTTTTAGTTTTACCATTTTAATAACACAGAGTTCTATATGGCTGAGCATGGTGATGATTTATGAGGACATCACAGACATGTTACAAGCAACAAAATTATTTCAATAATCACATTAGGTTTTTTTGTCTCTTTCTTCCACTCTATACCTACTGCAGTTTCTTTTTTTTTATGTATAATTTATAATATAATATAATTAGGGTTTTAGGAAGAAAAATGACAACACAAAAAAGAGAATGAGACAAAGGAGATTGAAACAAGACAAAATTAAGGAAAATCTATTCAAAGGAGTCTGATAACCAAGAGTCCCATATTTTGTCCCATATTTTGTAGAAGCATCTTTCAGTATTATGGATTTTGTTCCTCTATATATATATTTTTTTCGTTTTACAGGTGATCCATGTCTTATCAGGGGCCTGGGAAAATCCCCATAGATTACTATAGTCCTATGAATGGAAATAGACTCTTGCAAAAATGTCTAACCCAGTAGTATGCTCATATGCCTATAGAAAAGCCATATGTAGGGATCAAAGGGAATTATTGCATTGACAAAAAGGGATTACCCTGAAACGTGTGTTTTATATATGTCCTTCAAATAAATAAGCACTTTGGGGCACAACGCTGTGTTTGCGCAGCCTCTTTATTGGAATAGATTTTTATTATCAATGAGAGATGAAAACTTGTTGTGAAAATTGTTTGCACTGAGGTCCACCAAGGGTCCATGGGAATATTAACTCACAAAAGGACCTAATGGGAAGTCTCAAATTTAAACTGATAGGTATTTACCAGAAGTTAAAATTATTAAGATGCTAGCAGTAATGTTACTGTTTTGTCAAGATTATGCTTATAACCTGAAATGGTGTGTTTGTCCAAGATATCCAATTGGGCAGGAATGGAATTAGATACGTCCGTGATAGACAATCAAACACTATCAGCATATGCAGCTACTTTAAAAGTGTTAGTACCTCATTGCCCTATTGGAGGGAAATAGTTTGGAGGGCAGGGTTCAAATAGTAGATGGGAGAGGGGACATACTTGTTAAATTACATTGAAGATTGTGAAGGATGGAGAATCTGGATTAGAGAATTAGGATGCAAACATCCATTATGATGTAACACAGAGAGTTTATATATTTGAAATAAAGGTTTAGGTTAAGCCGTGGCAACCGTGCAAAGAACATGAGCACACTTGTATGTATTCATGTCTGCCAAGCCAGACCAAGTCAGTATAGTAAATATTCATCTGGTGCTCACTATGAAGAACAGAACTAATAATAAAGGGACAGCAGCAAATCAAAGGACCACTATAGGCACCCAGACCACTTCAGCTTAATGAAGTGGTCTGGGTGCCAGGTCCAGCTAGGGTTAACCCTTTTTTCTATAAACATAGCAGTTTCAGAGAAACTGCTATGTTTATATTAGAGTTAATCCAGCCTCTAGCGGCTGTCTCATTGACAGCCGCTAGAGGCGCTTGCGTGCTTCTCACTGTGATTTTCGCAGTGAGAAGACACCAGCGTCGATAGGAAAGCATTGAGAATGCTTTCCTATGGACTGGCTGAATGCGCGCGCGGCTCTTGCAGTGCATGCGCATTCAGCCGAGGAGGAGGAGAGGAGGCGGAGAGGAGGCGGAGAGGAGGCGGAGAGGAGGCGGAGAGGAGGAGAGATCCCCGCCCTGCGCTGGAGAAAGAGGTAAGTTTGACCCCTTCCTCACCCTAGAGCCCGGAGGGAGGGGGACCCTGAGGGTGGAGGCACCCTCAGGGCACTATAGTGCCAGGAAAGCAAGTATGTTTTCCTGGCACTATAATGGTCCTTTAAACAAGGAACCCCACATCTTGTGAAAAACTCAAATAGACTAGCCGTGCCTAATGAAAAACACCACTGATCATATATGATGCACAGATGTATACAAACATATCCAAAGTAATCCATATGCAAGCAATACTTAAAGACAAAACATAAAACCAATCATAGGTAAATAAATAACTTCACAGAAAGACATGGTACAAAGTACACCAATGGCCCACTCATTATGTAGTGAGCCAATCCAGGCTCGAGGTGAAAACAGCACAGACAGTATAATCCCGTCACTGAATACGTTGCAATATGCTTGATATATGCTTGTTTCCAGTGGTGCCAACAGTCACATACCCAATATGTGACACAAACACAGAAGAAAGGACTCAAATTGCACATATAGTATAAACAATAGTTATGTAAATAAGCAGAATGCTACCTACGGATAGTAGAGCAATAATGTGCTGTAAGTGGGTAGAACTCAGTGTTGTATGAGAGATATGGATAGGTAAACCTAGGGAAGAGTGCTGAAATCAAGGACAACATTTGTTCCTGAAAGCATTCATTCGGGGCTCTGAGTACGAAGCAGCCAAAAACAAATGCACAGCTTCAACTAGAGTTCGTTTGTGGAACAGGGCTTGCATGACAGCCTGGACATAACATCGTGTTCTCTATTCTTTTAAAACAAGTTTGTAACTGGTCACACTAAAAAAGATGCTGCCAGGAGACACCAGCCCACATATCTTTTTAAAATGTACAAACATATTGTTGGAGATGCTGTGTTTTTAAGATGTTTTGTTGACAATGCAGAAATTCAAGAAAAACTGCTTTTTTCATAAACACTTTAGGCAAAATGTGTTTAATTGCTTTGGCTGATTCCTTCCACTACACTGGAATCGGGGAAGGTATGCACAGCTGCAATTAGTTTACTCATTTATGTATTTTATAAAGAGACTTAAGAGAAAGTCAACTGGACATTGTACTTGATCTGACTCCTGTGTGGTCTCTCACAATGGGTGCACTAAATAATGACATATAAAGTCATCACAACCGATTTTTATCTCAAAGCACAATGCTGTCTTCTCATCTTTAATACCCAAATGATCAGTGTTCGGTTTTATTGGATAGAATGACAACAAATTACACAGGAAATGATTAAAGACAAGGAAATAAGGATTTGAAGTAACTTAAAAATGACATGTAAATATTGTTGCAATCAGGAGTTTAGTGGACTCTGATGGATTGCAATTCAAACTGGTTATGTTCTGTTTTTAGAAACTGCTCAAATATAAACCTCAACTGGGAAAAGAAAAAAAGCATGAATACTTGCATCTATTCTATAAACTTAAAATAAACCCGGATCCTTGGAACCATTTGTGATTGATCAGCTGTTATGACATCACAACTCAACTGGGGTTCCAATATCATGTTCGTTGTCGAATAAGATTTGGCATTCCAGTAACCCCCTCCGATCCACTACAGAATTAGCATAATATACATGGGAAGATTTTACCTATGAAATGGCACAAATTATTGCAAAAAATGATGGCTGTTCAGGTTGTACCTCTTCTCTTATGGTCGTATCACCTTTGTCACTATTTTTATTATAGATAAAATAAAAGCTTACATGTAACAGAGCCTTTTTGTTTGTTATTGTGTAATGCACACAAATAAATAGACACCTCTTTTTTAAACATAACTTGGCTTTTCATTGTTTAATGGGAATGGATGTTTTTTAGCCTGTGGTTTAAAAAATAATGGTGTTTCTGATCAAAAAGAAATGAATAATGGCAGATTGTGGAGGAAAGGTAAGCCACACAATTTGTAAAGAGATGCATTTATTTATGTATACATACAAAATGATGCACACCAAATTAATTAAAAACTCAATCACTTTATTATACAATAAAATAATATATTACAACAAACACATTAAGTACTATAATACACTAGTGATAGAGGCTATAGGCAACAAGTCATCAAACAATAGGTACATGTAAACACTTACATAGAGGGCCGGACATCTATTTCACTAAAACCCCCCAATGTTTCGGCAGCAGAAAAAGTGCCCTTTTCAAGGGACAACCTTGTGTTTGGACACATTAATACATAGCATGCCTCAATGTACATAGGACATCATTGCTTTCACATAAAGATGTATCACTTTAGTGACCCAGTCACTGCTAGGTTGTGTGAGCTGATATGGTACATTATGTCTGGGGGAGGCAAAAATTGATCTTTTCCTTCCTTTTGTTCTTGAGCTGTATTAACGTTAACGTGTGCTTTGTGTGAAGAAATTTAAAGGGGAACTGTCACTTTTCTGAAATTGACAGCACTTATTAAAACACGTGAAATCACAGATAACTAGTGTTAACCTATGCCTACATCTCTAAATTCTGACTGCCATGTACAAAATACACAAGCTATAACAAAGATCGACAGGGAGTTAATATGGAGATGGACAGTTGCATGATAAAGAGATGTACATTGCTAAATGTAGTTTTTCACACCTCACAAACATTTGTTTGTTAAGTATAAGGACACATATATTAAATATCCCGAAAAGGTGTTGGTTCCCCTTTAAATGTAGTAGTAGCAGGGGCACTAAACATGGCTGAACCATATATACTTGTTTTATATATGACTTCAGAAACAAAAATTATGAGATAAATATTTACTTTGTCCCTAAAGCATTTTGTCAAGCAACAATTTGTTTCATCATTTAATTAAAGGACAGGTGTGAGAAAATGCTCTTCTCCGTGAATAAACAGGTTACGAGATTCATAATAAAATGTAATATATATATATATATAAATATATATATATATATATATATATATATTGTATTTAACATTGCATTGAATCCATTTAGACTTTAAAAAGCAGAATAAAAAGTACGATGAGTTGTCATCATTAACTCGAGCTTTAGGACACGCATATCCATTTATCTGGGTTTTATCAAGAATTCCTCAATTAACTATCTTCCAAGAATAATCCTGTCCCTTTTCCCAATTAAACTGGGCATTCCATCAAAATCTGTTAAGAGATGTTTAAAGAGGACTCATAATCAAAAAAAATGTATTTATCCAACAAGATACTAATTATGTGTGCTCATCACATACACATATAAGCCGTCTTTGCCAGTAATTAAGGCTCAAGACATAAATTATGTCAAAGAAAGGAGAACATATCACTCTGGTTCCTATTAAAAAAAGATAAATTATAAACACTGTAAGCAGATTAAGGATTTCCATGGCCTTTAAGCTTCCCGCTACAAGACTTGCTTTGGAGTAGTTAAAGATATGTTCTTAAGAGGCAAGTGAGGGTAGAGCTACCAACAAGGATAAAGGATGATTTATCTTGAAGTCCTTAAATAAAATCAAGTTTTGAAGAATTGTCTCACATCTCCCTGTGTTGAGCATTGGGAAAACCAACTAATTACTTTCAATTACCAGATTGTGATTCTCCTACTCCTCCAATGTGTTGTATTTAAACAAACCATGTTATTACCACTGATTTAAACAGGGATGGCACTATGAATGTGTGGAATGTATGATGTCACCAATATATTTCCTAAATCACAAGTCATCTCACTGCATTGACAGCTCCCCTCCTGCACATCGGTCATCATGTCACAGCACTACCTCTTTATGGTCTCAAGAAGTTGTGCAGGAGTGAAGAAAGCTTTCCTACCCATATTGTGTGCCACACTTGATACCAGCGAAGTCACTATCTTGCACTCAAAAATTAGAAAGATAGGAGAGTGCTTATAAAATAACATGCATTTCAATATTGTGTGTGTGTGTATGGCAGTCTGCTCCATTTTATGTCTGACAGTGTGTTTGTGTGTGTTTATGTTTGTATGTTTGGCAGTGGGTATCTGTTTGTGTGTGTTTGTCTGGCAGTGTCAACCAGTTTGTGTCTGGCAGTATGTATTTGCATGTGTGTGACAAAGTGGATTTTTTTTTGTGCGTGTCTGTGACTGTCAATCTGTATCTATATGTGTGTTTGTCCAACAGTATGTATCAGTGTGTCTGTCTGGCAGTGTGTATCTGTATATGTGATGTATCTAGCAGTGTGGATTTGCATGTGTGTGCCTGGAAGAGTGTGTTTGCTTGTCTCTCTGTATGTCTGGCAGTCCATCTCTGTGAGTGTAGCTAACAATGATTATTTTTGTGTGTCTGTCTGTCTGGGCATGTTTACCTGTGTGTGAGGGTGTGCATATTTGTTAATATCTGCATATGAGAATGTGTAGCTTTTTATCTGAGAGCATGTGCAAATAATATGGTTTTTACCTATATTTTATTATGTGTACCAGCAAATTTACCAATGCAACAGGAAGCAGACATCCTGATTTACTAGCAGACATTTACATGATGGATTTCAGAACTGAGCATCAGTTACAAACAATCATAAATGCCTGAAGTAAGATTGAGAATATCTAAATATCAAGTTAAGTATGCGTAAAATCCCCATTTAATGGTAAGCCTGACCCTGTTGACCTTGACTTGTTTTGCCTGTTTCAAAGATAATCAAAACATAAGAGGTATGTCTGCCCCCATGCAAGTAAATAATCTGAAATTAGCCCATTCTCATTTGACGCACACTCAACAAATGTTAGAAAAAGGCATTCTTTTCAAAGAACCTTTTTACTCTGTTTACCTTTCACAAATGGGAAACAAATCTGTAGGAAATAACAAAAAATACCTTTAGATTCTCTCTATCCTATTAACAAGTCTATTAGTAGTATGTATGTACCCTAGAGAATAGAGACCGACTGTATTTCACCACATGTCTGATTAAAAAGTCTCCCTTCCTGGGGTGGCATTTCTTAGCTTTCAACCTTTTAGCTGTGTAAACAAAGGTATCCAAACTATGGTTTTGTTTTCACAAGGATAATGGATTGTATACTATAGTTAGTTAGAGCTCAGCATTCAAGTTACTGAAAACAGTAGGACTACTTTGATAGATGCAAAAGATGGGGTACATTGACGTTGTGGCAGGCTTATGCAATGTATGATCATATAATGTAACTAAACCCCCATTATTTTTGCCTAGATTAGGTGTTTTTAAAAAAACAAATAAAATCTTTCAACATTGAAGTTGCTGTTTAGTGGATAGGTGAGTGCGCTGGATCTTGTGTATTGTATTATTTGGCCCCCAGCAGCACCCCCATTTATGCATGTTAAGGTGAGTGCAGCCAACCCCCTCTTGTTTTATATATATTTGGGAGTCTAGCCAACTCCTTGGTTTTGCACCCCTCCCTGTCACAGGTGCCTCATCCCAGGGCCCTATTTAGCCTTGTACTGCAGAGAGCCCCAGATGGAATTATTTTCCCCAAGTAGGTTAATCTCATAAGAGCAGACATTAGGCTGTTAGTGTAGGAGGGCTACACGGGGGGGTCCCTATCACCTCACCTCGGCACATCACAGTGCACCACTTACTATGCACTGAGGGAAACCCCTCCTCTCACTCAGTTATGATCACTGTTTATTAATCTGTCTTTCCTTTTTTGATATTATCCGTTTGGAGTCCGTTTTTCTACTGATAGCAAGATAGTATACTATTTAGCCACTTAGTACAGAACACCCATGAAGGTGTTTATTAGCAGAAGTTAGGGTAGTACAATAGAACAGGGATAGAATTGCCTTTCTCCTGGGTTAAATTTGTTTATTATATATTCCAATATGCTCTTCTTTCTCTTCTGTCATTAGACAATTCCTCTTCTGCTCATATTATAACGTTATATCTGTATTTGCTATACTTTTCCCTCTATCTTATACATTTTTATTGTTATTCATTACTATATAGAGGGACCTTACTATCATGCTACCTAGGGGATTATTAGCTAAATGTCTCCCTGGGAATATTTTGTAGAACGTTTTGCTTATCACTGTTTTGGTATTAAATTTGGGAATTCATTTGGAATAACATTTAGAATAAATTATCCCCATATACCTAAGATTGATATCAATGCCCATATGAATTAGAGTCACTATATTGATACGTAAGTGTAACTGTATCTCTTTTGATTTAGTAGTTCAATAAAGTTACAGTGTAGTATTGTTTATTTTGAGATACTTATTTATGCACCTTCTTTTAGTATTTGATATTATTAAGTAATTCTTTGGCTCTTTTTTCTCTTACTAGTCGGACTCCATACTCTAAAATAGATTAGGCTTTATATTAGTGTTTGCTCATTATTTTACCAGCTTGCTTGGTAAGTTTCCCCTGTATGAGGGGAACTGCCCTAGCATTTTGTGTGATCTTTACCTACTTTGATAGTTGTCTAAATTTCTTCAAATTTTTAGATAAGTGCTTTTTAACTGGAACTATTTGTTTTTGTGTTCGAGTTAATCAATTTCACACGGGATAAAGGTCACAAAACATATAATGGGGGGAAAAAAAAACATGATATGTGTGTATAATGCCTATTCTTACATATAGAGCATATCATATAATATCAAGTGTACATAAAATATAGGAGAGTACATTAACTGTATTCACGTGCAAAGAATGCAATTAATGTCTGTGTAAAATACATTTCTACACATGTACCACTAGATGGCAGAATGATAGTGTTTTTGTCCATGGCCTCAACATTTAATCCAAGGGAGATTGTTTTATTTTTCTATACCAGTAGTTTGTATATACAATTTTTTTATTGTGTGAGAGTGTGTGTGTGACTGGATATATAAGCATTATGGCACTGCAAGTAAAAAAAAAGATTCCTTTATTCAATTGGGTATGTTAGTGCAATAAGAAAAATAAAACCTTTTTTATTTTTTAATAATGTGACAATTTAGGTAAAATTCAGATAAATAAAAATTTTTTAGGTAAATTCAGATGAATAAATATATAACACTTTAACTGACATTGACTTAGCATTTATTTTTGAAACAACACCACTTCCAGTAAGTCACTAGTAAAGAGCTGTTCAAGTAGTGGATAATGTTTATATAACCGAGTAGGTGGTGTTATTTCAAAAACAAATTCTAAGTCAATGTCAATTTAATTATTTACTGTTGGGTTAAAGGGTCCCTGTAAGCACTATAACTATCTCATCTCATTGAATTGGTTTGAATGCCTGGAGTTCCTTGACATTAACCCTCCATTTAGTATTAAACCATTTTCGAACAGTTTAATAATATAAAATTGTCCCGGGTCACCAACAACAGAGCACCTAATGGACATGTGGCTGAGACAGAGATTAGCCATGCTAATTCATCAGCAATGGATTCTGTGATAGGCTGAGACCGTTCCCTGGCACTCTGAACTAATCACAGCCTCCTAATGCATTTTGATTAGCAGCCAAAAGGGATAGGCTGTTGGGGACTCTCATTTAGCATATAAAGCATTAAAAGTGTTTAACAATGAATGGGCGGACAGCGCCGAAAAAGACTCCAGACACCATAACTATTTCAATGAGATTAGGCAATTACAGGGTCTCAGTGTCCCTTTAACAATTAACAAAAAAACAATAGAAATCAGCTGGCAAACCCCCTCTTTCCTGAGAAGAGATGCTTAGGATACAAATTTGGGATTTACTCACTTAATGGGATACTTCACTGCTCAAATGAAAATTAAAATTACAACACTTTTTGTAAACTGAAATAAAAGCACTCCAGCAACTAAATAACTTTAGGGGTTTGGAGAGTCCCTTTAACAACAAAATGTAGTGAATTAAAAATCGGATTCTCAAATTTGGATAAAAATGCTGATTTGGAAAAATTCTCAAATTTCCGATACAACCATAAATAAGTTTTGACTAAATCTTGTATATTGAAGCCACAATGTATTTTAGTGAATATCAAATGCCTTTATGGTTTTCTATGGAGTCCCTGTGTTCTGGTTCAGGACCTTTTAGTAATTTATGTTGCTGTAAAGTTACGCCTGTTAGTAAATAGAAATTATGGTGTGAATTTTCAGCTGTGTAATAAAAAGGTCCACCAGGCTCTAATAAATAAAGTCCAAAGTATTTAATAAAGTCTACAGGAATTTATAACTGAGCAGAACTTTGTGGAAAATATAACAAAAATATAGTCACTTCAACTAATTAGAGCTGCTGAGTTACGCCTAAATGTCAAGATGCTGGGTACAGCTTGATTGTATCTTAGCTTAACTATAATTTATGCCTTAGAAAATACATCTTTAAAAGAACAGAGAATTATCTGACCTTTTAACTGCTCTGTAAATGTATCTCCTCTGAAGCAAGGATATATGTCTGTGTAGACATTGGTACCAGCCTCCGAGAGCTTTTGAAGTTAAAAATAATTTCAATATGAACGAGACACTGTTGACCTCATTTCCTGTTAGGCTTGAGTGAAGATTTAAAGAGCATTTAACAATTTTTTTTGTATAATTTTCCTTGAAGATGGTTAGATGAAAAGAACAAATAAATAAAATACTGTTGTTACATTAACTGGTTTTGTTTAGGCTAATTGAAAACTCAGTGGGGACAAAACAATTATTTTTTTTTTATTAATTGAAAACCTAAACTGCATAAATGAGGCAATAGTAGCTGATAAAAAAAAAAAACCTCAATCTAGCAAATATCACAGTTTAGTTATGTTAGCCTAAATTTTTTAATTTAATTTTCAATTTGTCATAACAGGGTTAATCACTAAACACACAATTAAGTAAATGATGGACTCTATTTAATATATTTAGTTAACCTTTTCAAATTATTTAATATTTTTGAACAAACTTTTTTTTAAAGCATGTTTTATTTAAATATTTTGATATATTTGATATATTGATAATTTATATATATTTTTAGATATTTCATCTTTTTTTAAAGTTTATCCAAAAATATAAAATCATTTGAAAATATATCCAAATATATTAAATTGAGGTATTAATATGCTTACAATTCTATGTTTAGGTTAGTCAATCCCACAATCTTTGATTGTTAAAGCTGCTGTTATTCTTTTTTTTTTTCTAAAAGAAACTGTATAGCCTTGTACACTAAAGATATGATTCCCGGAGGTCCTGCGTGACCACACCAGATTTAACTGCACCATCTTATACACAGTTGTATTTTGTTTCTTTGTCAGTCAAACAAAAAAAAAAAAAACTTGTAAATATATTTACAAAAAATAAATACAATGTGGATATATAACAAGAAGTAGTTTACAGACAAGAATAGGAGATAAAAAGGTTAAAAAGGCACTGCTCAAACAAGCTAAGTTTTAAAGAAATGAACAAGTTATACGTCATCTGGTCCAAGTAACTCTTAGAAACTCTAGCAAACCCCAAGATCAACACATAGAGATTTGCACATAGCATCTAGGAAGAAAATGCACTTTTAAACTTATTTTAGTTTCATTTTGCTACGAAAATTTGACCACTTATAACAGTCTTGATAAAGTTACAAAGACACAGTATGGTTAATTATTTGCATAATATGAAGCAATTACCAAGGACTGATTCCTCCATATTTTGACCTGTGCTTCAGATTAACTTGTTATAAATTACCCCATTGATTCTTTACGAATGAAGAGAATGTACTGCAATATAACTATCTATGCTTGATTGTATGTATGGGATTGGATTTTTTTTTATATCTTTATTCTTATTTGGTTTCATAAATAGGCAATATACAATGAAATAGAATTTAAGAGTATAATATATTAACAGACGCTGTTATACATAAATATTTCCTCATATGATAAGTAGAATAAAATAAGCAATTGAGAGTATATGCATGTATCATCAAGGCATACGAAATTAAGAAATTTAAGAGTGTTTAAATTGACCATTAACCAAACTAGAAAGATATATAGATCTGATATATCATCTTCTTCATCCTATTCTCTCTGCATATATATTCTATTCTCTCTGCTGTTTTGCTAACAGCTCTATGGTAAGGATAGGGGTGCTAAAGGGCAGCCCTGTCTAGTTCAATTTTTTATCAGAAAGGGTTTGGATTAAAAAAAAAGGGTGAATTATTTTTGCTGAGGAGTTCGCATACAATAGCATGGGTCTTTCTTTAAACTGGCCCACGACCCAAGACGGAGTCAAGGAATCTCCAGTTGACTCTGTCAAAGGCCTTCTCGGCGTCGAGGGCCATGGCAACCACTCCCAATTCATTGTTATTAATCCTATGAATTATGTTAAAAATTCTACGTGTATTATCTGTAGTACTTCTCTCCATGACAAAGCCGGATTGATCAATGTTAACCAGATCACAGGATCTGGGAAAATAATTTTATATCTATATTGATAAGATAAATTGGCCTGTAATTGGTAATATAAGACGGATCCTTACCCACTTTTGATATAGGGATGATTAATGCCAATAAAATATCGTTAGGTAGGGGATTCTCAGACGAGGTTTCTAAAAAAAACTTTCAAAAGAATAGGTGCAATAATTCTAGAAATTTTTTATAAAAAATTGCGTAAAAGCCATCAGGGCCCGGAGCTTTATTTAATTTAAGATGGTCTATTGCTTCAATAATTTCAGATAGTACAAATGGAGCATTCAGGATATCTATTTTTTCTTGATTCAACTTCGGTAAATGTAAGAAATCTTATCAAGAAATTCTTCCATTTCTTTACTGCTTTTTCTAACATCATTTAAATTATATAATGATCTATAAAAGTCCCCAAATGATTGGGCTATATCCTTTGGGCAAGATAGTTGTTTATACCCAATCAATATTTTTTTTTTTATAGATTTACCCTTAAGCTTGTTCTTGATTTTATTTGAGAGATCTATCTAGAGATTTATTAACTTTGTTGTTATTATGGTACGACCTTTGTTTAAGAAAAGCAATGTTTTTGTTTACCCTATCATATAATCTTTCTTTAATGCTTTCCCTTAATCTGGCTATCTCTCTTATCAGCACTTTGTCAACCTTAATTTTATTTAATCTTTCCTTGAGAGCTAGTTTAACCTTTAATTCCGCCAATGATCCCTCATTTTTCCTTTTTATGAAGTCTGAACCCAATTTTATCAAGAGACCCCTTACATAGCTTTTAAAAGTATACCACACCAATGAAGTAGATACTTCGCCATTGTCATTTGTAGATTCAAAGTTCTCAAGTTCACAAGACAAGATTTATATAACTTTTTATAAATTTCTTCTAGTAAATCTTTCTAAAAATATTTTTATCAAAGAAGAAGTCTAAATGTTTTTTGTACAATCCTTTTATATATGCAATTTTTATATATAATTATTTAATTATAAATATTATAGTTTTATACAGATTTTAATTATAATTACATATCTTATACCCTTTATTATTACAACCATCTCTGATTATCAGCTTCTACCTGTCTCAGCTATAACAACCGCAATAATGCATGTGTATAATATGATTTGCATGTTCATTTTATATAAGGAACATTACTTGTGCTTTTTTCACATTTTTGATGCCACTATATGCACCTAATACCCATTTGTTAACTTTCATGTATGTTTTTAATCACTATATGCACTGAAATATTGTATAGACTATTTGTGCATTTTAAATTCCAATCTTTATTAGTTTATTTACAATTTTTCAACTATTTATATTTATAGTTGTATTTACAATATGGCAATATACAATATATTCATACCACATTGTAATTTAAAACATCATAGGCTGCTAAGATTATGTACTATTACAACTATTAAGCCCCATTTTCCCACACTTTGCCCTTCTATGACATGGCCGAAAATCATTGGAAATATAGAAGAAATTATGTGTGATGCGACTTCTGCCGGATGTTTGGATCGACTTGTAACTACTATAACAGGATGGACTCTATCAACATTCAATTAACACACAATTAGTGGATGTAAATTCTCTCTCCACTTCTGATATCGGTATGTACCGATTGGAACGCAGCAACGCCATTTTGAGCTTCGTTTACGTTCCACAGTGGAACGCATAGATTACCACTACACCAAAACGCTGCGTCACCTCCTGTGTGACGCGTGCGTTCCAACAGTGGTTACAGGAAATAGGAAATGAAACACCAGGAGATAATCATCATTAAGAGACTACCGATATAAACTGATGCAATTAGGATTTAACCCCCACACTTCTGAAGACGCCTCCACGGGTGAAACACGTGGGACTCCTTAAAGATACTCTATACAGATTTTTATTGTTTTTGTTAATAAAAGGTAAATTTAATTTTTTTTAAATTTTACTCTACATCTTCGATTTTATTTCCTGGTTTCCATCATATTCCCAGGTGGGGATTATACCACCCATGCTGTATACACTAGAGCAAGTTCTGCTCTAGTAAACGGAGTACATTAAAAAATTTTTTTATTTAAAACATCTAATAGTACCTATTTCACTATTTGGATTATCTCTCTATGTCTTTTTATATATGACCTGCATATTGCACTTTACCTAAGACTAGAAAAGATGCCAACCTCTACATATATCCTTAGACGGGGATTGTTCCATCCACGCTTACTAACAGCTGAGCTCTGAGTTAGCTCTGGTAAATGTGAGTGACACCTTATAAGAATATTTGAATACTAACTCACTGAATCTAGCATATTGCACTATTATTCTTTCATGTCTTTTTGTTTTTGAGGTCAACTGTAGATATAATACCACAAAAGACTTGTGTACGTATACGATTTTTAATTATACTGTCTGGGCTGTGGTCTCCTCCTCCTTTCTTTCAATAAAATTATAGACCCGATATTTGATTTAGTAACTGATGCTAAGGGTCCCGCTTTGACCAAAAATAAATCTATGTGAGAATATGTCTGAAGTACATTAGATAAAAAGGTATAGTCTTTCTCATTAGGATTAAGAGTTCTCCAACAGTCATATAAAGAGTTCCTTCTCATAAAATAAGAAAACTCTAAAAGATCAGATTTTTGAGAAAGTTGATCTCTATTATGTTTATGGCTTTTATCTACTCTAGGGTCTGCAACTCAATTGAAATCACCCCCAAAAATTACGTAACAACAAGCAAGATCATCCACCTTGTCAATTATCCCATTCAAGAAACTGTTATGGACATACTATTAGAATTAGTAAAATGCCTATTTACTCTGCATACCTACAATCAGTATTATTCAATATTTACTCAAAATGGCTACTAGAAGCTCCCCCTCCCATCGACTAACCACCTCATGTAACAAGATGGCACTGGAATCTGGAGGCGAAACCCATGATGACAGTGACATCACACCCTGTGGGATGGCATTAGATAAAACACTTAACACCTAACCAATTATGGATGTTTACTTACTGTTATCTATAATTATGCATATGATGTATTCTTTTCTTTATAAGGGGCCTCCCGCCCCCTGAATAAACATTCCTCAAGTTTTTCAGTAACCTGAAACTTGTGTCTGGTGTGAATTACTTAAGGAGCGTGCACGCATATATTTAATTATTTGGACAGGGGCAGATATTCAAGTAATCAAACACTTGATTTGATCCACAACAAAACTCACTGGACTATAATTCGGCACGTATATATTAACAAATGTATAAAGAACATCATTAATTTTAGAGATAAGTATTACAAATCTACCATTAATATCAATATACAAGTGCACATATTCAAATGTAACTTTGTTTGAAATAATAATAACGATCCCTCTTTTGTTCCGTTTCCTCTCCATATTGGCGCTATATACTTTCGGGTATTTCTTAAATCAAGATTCTGTATGGGAGAGCCGTGATGACGTAGGCGGGTGCGCGTCTGCGTGGGGGGAGGGGCGGTGTGGTGGAGAGTGGCCGGCGGCGGTTTTTTTCTGGCGGGTCGAGTGAGCGTGGAGTGAGTGACCGAGAGCCGGAGCTGAACCGGGTGGATGAAACCTCGGACTTCAACTCTCTCTGTAGCAGATTGTGTGGGTCATTCGGAGTTGCACTGGCGGTCCGGTGTGAAGAGAAGTTCCTCTCGACATATAAGCCGGGCATGTAGGCTTGAAAAGATAAGTCTGCTTTCATGTTCTACTGACATAATTAAAACGAACAGAGTAACACTGCATTTGAGAGGGTGATAGAGAGAAGGGGGTTGAGAGTGGAAAATAGAAAACAGAAACTACTGTAAATATTGTAAATAATTTTTTTTATTTTTTTTTCTCTGCGAACTTTTAGGAGGGGGGGGGAAAGCTGAGGAGTGAAGCCTCAAAAAATTATCGAATAATCGAATTACAAATATTGTGGATAAGTTTTGTGGCTTGGCAGTCAAAAAAAAAAAAAAATGAAGAAATGAGAAGAAAAGAGTGGGAAAAAGGAGAAAAAGATTAAAAATAAAGAAAAAGAGTTTCCCAAAAAAAAGAGGGTAAGGTGAAGTTTGAGGAGAAAATAAAAGGATAAGAAATTGAGAAAAATAATAAGAAAGAAAAGGGAAGAGCAACAAGTATAGAAGACCTTTTATAGAAAATAAAATGGCAACCAGAAAGCCACAGGAGGAAAGAAAAAAAAGAGAAAAAAAAGACCCTATCACTGATAAAAGGTTATCAGGATATTTCTCCCCGCCTCCAAACAAATTCCAACTGAATTCTGAAACTCAGGACAACTCCCCTCCCCCCAAATCTAACTCTAATCCCTCTCATATTGCACAAGCAGGTAAACCTCTAACTGAAGAGATTTTAATTAATTACCTGGAGAAATTACAGAACAATATTAAAGAAGATATCCAAAAAGGATCATTAGATTTAAAACAAGAGATAAGAGATATGAAAGTCCAATTGGAATCTATGGAATCTAAGATGATGCAAACAGACTTAAAAAATGTGCACATAGAGTCAGTAATGACAGACCTACAATCCAAGGTAGAATCACTGGAGGACAAATTAAATGATTTGGAAGATCGTTCCAGGAGAACCAATATAAGAATCCGTAATATTCCTGATCAAATTAACGATTCTTCACTGAAAAAATTTCTGATGGAATACTTTGAAACAATATTATCTCAAGCTGGTTTTCAAGATTCAGAATTAGAGAGATACCACAGGTTACCTAGACCTAGAAATGTGGCAGAATCATTACCAAGAGATGTAATTGTTAAATTTCAATCTTTTTATATTAAAAATCAAATAATGAGTTCTGTGAGAAATAATCCGGTCACAGAAGAGAGATTTAAGAACTTGAAGATTTTCCCTGACTTATCTTTCCATACAAGAGCATGGCGGAAAGGCTTTAGCCAGGAACTATCCATATTAAGAGCCAAAGAAGTGAAATATATATGGGGATTTCCTATATGCCTTAGGATCTTCTGGAGAGAAAAAAATGAAAAATTTACTACTCTGCATTCTTTGAGAAAATGGATGGAAGAACAATCTATAGCGGGTGCTATATGATTCAGGAATAATAATCAAAAATTGAAGATGCTTCGTAGTTCGCAGCTGTCTGGATGAAAATGAACAATTAGAATTATATATAATTTTTTTTTTTCTCTCTCTCTCGGCTGGTTTGGTGCTAATAGATAGCTAACACGTAAAGGATGGAGATAGGCAAAAGGTTAAGAATAAGTGTTAATAATAAGTGAATGGTGGGTTTATTTCTACACATGTTAAGATGGAAGTTAAGTGTTAATATTCTAAAGGAGAAAATATGCAAATAGATTGAGTAAATTTATAAAATTAGATAGTCTTAATACAGTAAAGGGATGCAATTTTTACACACAGAATTAGAAATTGATAAAGTGTTAGGAGATTCTGGTAATTTAAATAAGAATCACGGAAAGAATCAACTATGGAAGGATGGATTATGTATACACAGTAGGAAGATAAATTATTCACGAAAATATATAAATAATTATCATAGGATTAAAACACATGGTAGGATTTGTTATACTTAAGAGATAGATTTGTATATATTGTCACACAAACACACAATTGGTTGGGTGGTAATAGTAAGTTATATAAGAAGAATGGCAGATATTCTATAACCAATTGGATAGACCTTTCAAAATAATGGAACTACATAAATTGTTAGTGATTATATATTCATAACTATCGGGGAATCTAGGTTGTAAATAAGATTTTTCTTCTTTTTTTCTCTCTCCTCTGTGTATTATATGAGATAGTAGAGTTTTCTTAAATATAAGGAATAAGATTTTCGGTTACTCTTCTCATACCGTCCCACCAAGTGTCATCTCTTCTGTTGACACAAATTCCGTGATATGGTGAATCTAAACACCATCTCACGAGGACACAGATGGCCCTGGAGTGGTATGCCGAGAGGAAACCTTTCGGGAGCCAGGCTGTGTTGGGCCAGACTGGGTGTTTTTCCCATAAGGTTTTTGTGGGTCTATGTTCAATGGACCTTTTGTGTTGTATGTGAATGCATTGCAGCTCTCTTGGGGTCAGTGGAAACAATGAGTTTTGATTTAAAATGGTAAAGATGATTTCAGTTAACGTCCAAGGCCTTAATTCTTTAACCAAAAAATCTTTAATCTATGATTATATGTTAAGAAATAAAGTGGAAGTGGGCTTTTTTCAAGAGACTCACTGGTTGGATATGGATAGTCAGGGCTGGGGTGGTTCAAAATTCCCTATAATGATACATGCTTCTTTAAGTGGAGAAAAAAAAAAGAGGAGTAGCAATAGTATTTTCCCACACATTAAAAGTGGATATAATTCATCAAATTAAAGATAAGGAAGGTAGATATGTTATAGTTTGTTGTAAATTGAATGAGATACCTTATACATTGACTAATATATATCTGCCCAATGACTTTCCTGCTCCAACCTAAAAAAGGTCTTAACTTTAATGGAATCTGTCAAAATAGGTACATGTTTGGTGGCTGGGGACTTTAATAGTGTATTGGATCCGATATTAGATAAGAAGACATCTTCAATACTATTACATCAAAAAAGAACAGATAAATTGGCAAAATCTATTAAGAGAAATATGATTAATTTTGATTATTTTGATCTTTGGAGAACGACTAATCCTAATTCATTGGAATATACGTTTTTTTCACGGGTACATCTTTCGTATTCCCGAATAGATATGGTTTGGGGAAATATGACAGCATTGACGAATATTAAATATTTTAAGATACTTGATAATACTTGGTCAGACTTGGTATTAATATGTGGGAGATGAAGAATCAGTGGATCAGGATTGGTCGTGATACCTGGCATATGGATGATAATTTGTTAAAATCTAAGATCAATCTTGATATATTGGAAAAACAAATAGTAACCTTTTTTCTTGAAAACGATCCAAATGATATAATAAGTATTCAAACAAGATATAAAGTAGAAAATAATAGATCTTTTATGGTATTACAAACAGAACTGAAAAAGGCTGCAAGTAAGAACAAGCAGTTTCCCTCTAAAGAAAATGCAGACGAGCTAAAAAGTATTCAGAATAGAATTAATAATTTTCTTATAGCAAAGAATGTAAAAATTAGGAATAAACTCAAAGCTAATTACTACTATAAGGGAAATCGAGCAGATAGAATTATGACCAAAAAATTAAGAGATAAAATTGGATCCAATAAAATAGTAAAGATAGAGGATGAAGATGGGGTATATCTGGACCCAAAAAAAATAGGGGAGAGATTTAATAAGTATTATGAGGCTTTGTATAATTTAACTCCCTCGATAACCAATGAGGAGGACTATCTGAGTAAAATTAATACTCCTAAGATTACAATAGAACAAACTAATAAGCTAAATACTTTAATTACAGCTCAGGAAGTAGAGGTAGTAATAAACAAATTAAAACCAGATAAGACGCCAGGTCCAGATGTTTTCGCAAATATATTTTATAAATCATTTAAAAAACTTATTGTTCCCCACCTAACAGACATGTTTAACGAAATTGTATCAGTTGGTAAATTCCCTACAGAAATGTTGAGTGCAAATATTCTTCCAATTCTTAAAGATAACAAAGATCCTCTAAAGGTAGAAAATTATAGACCTATCTCCTTAATCAATACAGATGTTAAAACATTTTCTTCAGTTTTGGCCCATAGATTAAGAGGATTAATGGATAATATAATTAAAAATTACCAAATCGGTTTTGTACAAGGTAGAGATCCAGTAGATAACTCTAGAAGATTATTGGATCTGATAGATGTATCTAGAAGAAGTAACAAACCTTTATTTGTATTGGCGGTCGATGCCGAGAAAGCTTTCGACAGGGTCGGTTGGGATTTTTTAAGGAAAACGCTGGAAAGATTCGGAATTCAGGGAAGGATGCTAAATGCTATTCTGGCATTATATGAAGGTCCTAAAGCAAGAACAGTGGCCCCAAACATATGCCCAGAGTGGTTTACACTTAAAAATGGCACGAGACAGGGATGTCCTTTGTCGCCAATTTTATATATAATGACAATGGAGATCTTAGCCATTAAAATAAGAGATAACCCTCAAATTAAAGGATTCAAACTCAGAGAAAAAGAATTTAAATTAAATCTATATGCAGATGATCTGATATTGACCCTAACCGACCCTGTCGAATCGCTTAAAGCACTGATGGCAGAAATAGACAAATATAGTCTGATCTCAAATTATAAAATAAATGTAATTAAATCCACTTTTTTAGCAATAAATATTTCCAGAGATTCTATTCAACAGATTAAAGATAAATATAAATTTAGTTGTAATAAAAATTTGTTAACGTATTTGGGTATAATTCTCACTGATGATGTAAAAGATACGCTCCAAGTAAATTTTCTGAAAACATTTAGATCGACACATGAGTCTTTAAAGAGATGGAGACAAACTGAACTGTCTTGGTGGGGCAGAATTAATTTGGTTAATTCGTATTTACTACCTAAATGGTCTTATTTATTCCGTATGATCCCCTTGAGAATGCCACAACCATGGTTATCTATGATACAACGAGATATAAATAATTTTATATGGAAAGGAAAAAGGCCGAGGATGAATAAACAACTTTTGATGCAGAAGACTAGGAAAGGAGGGATAAATTTTCCAAATGTTACTATAACTTATCTAGCAAATATGATGTTCCATATATATAAGACACAATTATTAAGTTCAGAGGAAGTTGGTTGGTACCAACTAGAATTGGAGATGACAGAAATGGAAAATTTACATCATTTGATTTGGTTAACTAAACAAGATGAAAGAACCAAAAAAGTCTGTTCCTCCAATACATGTTTGAAATCTATATTAATGGAGTGGGAAAAGTTGAAGATTAATAGTGGTTTATGTAATAAAATATTGGGAAATTTTAACCTTAGTATTATCCAACTAAGGATGAAGGATCTAAATTTAGGGGAATGGACAAGGAAAGGTATTGACTCTATAAATCAAATAATAATGGGTGACAAAATTAAATAATTTGAAAATCTGATACAAGAATTCTCATTACCCTGGAAGGAGTGGTGTAATTATTTAAGAATTGGAAGTTTTATCAAACAATATTTGCTATACCGACCTACAGTGGGCATAGAAAACCTGATAGTTTTATTAAAAAATGAGATCATACCGCAAATAGTCTCAAAGGCAAGGATTGCTCTCCTCCAAATTGAAGCTCCAAATTTAAATGTAAATATCCAAAAATGGAGTAAAGAGTTAAATGTACAGATTCTTAAGTCTGAATGGGATCAAGTACTATATCAAACAAGTAAGATAATCCATTGTCTGAACCTTCTTGAAGTATTATTTAAATTAATGAACCGCTGGTATTTAGTCCCTACCAGACTAGCCAAAATGTATATCTCCAAGTCTCCAATTTGTTGGAGATGTAACGAAAAAGAGGGGACCTTTGGACACATATGGTGGGAGTGCAGTAAGGTGAAAATCCTGTGGTATATGGCTTTCGATTCATTGGAGAATATCACAGAATTAAAAATCCCTAGGGGTCATCATAATGGTTTATTTCACTTAAATTTGCAATCACTCCTTTTCAAGGATAAATTTATATACGTCCATTTTGTAGCAGCAACAAAAATAATCATTGCAAGGAATTGGAAGAGTAGTGCAAATTTTACACAAGCCCAATTATATTCTCAAGTCCAATATCAATTAAATATGGAGGCCCTCGGACATCAGTCAATTAAAGTTAGAGACGTCAGTAATTTTTGGAAAGAAAAAGTGGAGAGTATGGCCAGATAAAATTTTGGATAAAATTAAAGTAATTAGATCAGTTTCTCCCTTTTTCCTACATCTTTATCTGTTTAGTATATTAAGGTAGTAATAGAGGTGCCACTGAAATACCCCAAGAAGAGTTTGCAATGCATAAAAATAAATGTTTGTCTTTTATGTTTGTTATGTATATCATATTAATGAAGTTTGGAATGCCATCTACCTAATTTAAGTAATAATTAATCGTGAATTAAGTTGCCTTATACGATAGATAAAAGGAACTTTAATATTAGAGGGATGCCGGATAAAAATATTTTAGACATGTAGATTGATTTTTCTTCATTCTTCTTTTCCAATATGGCGTTTGGTCTAGATCTAGAAAATAATTTAGTAGAATAATGAAAAGGGGAAAAAGCTCTAATATCACAAAGGCTATTATGTGTGCAATAGTATTGAGTATACATATAATTCTACAATTTTTATCTAATTGGTGGTAGATGGCAATACTTTTTATGTTTTCTATATCATTAAGGTTGATGGTAATGTCTTGTATGGTTATATAAGAAAAATGAAATAAACAAATTATAAAAAAAAAAAATTTTAACTTTGTTTGAAATAATAATAACGATCCCTCTTTTGTTCCGTTTCCTCTCCATATTGGCGCTATACACTTTCGGGTATTTCTTAAATCTCCAAAGTCTGTTTGGGGAGTCAAACCAGTGAGTTTCCTGGATAAAGGCCACATTATTGTTCTCAATTAAAAATGTGTACACTGAACCCCTTTTTGGGGGGGAATTCATTCCCTGGACATTCCAAGAGATCAGCTTAAGAGTAGTCATTGTAAATGTAACTTCCAGTTGGCCACAAGTCACATCTTACATGAAAAATAATAATAACATACATAAAAAAGCATATAAGAAGAGAAGGAAACATAAAAAGAAGAAAATACATGTTTCCACTTGATACCCCCTGACAAATTTGCAGGAAAAAGAGTTATGGGAAGAGGAGGAGATGCCCCAAAATCTGGGTACACCAAAAATGAGAAGGAAAAAAAAGTACAATAATAAACAATAACTAACGCATTTTGCACTTCCTAGCTTGTTATTTGTTTGCTTTGATTTTAATTATAACACCTGGATTTGAATATGCCAAAACATGAGTGATATGATCTAGTTGAGGCCAATATACTAAGCAATCATCTATAGATTCCTACAATTTCATATTAAATTGCTTTTCCTATATGGATAAAAGGGGGATGAGAAGAAAGGGGTAAAAAGAAATTATTACAAAAGTCATAGAATATTTAGATTGAGAATTAATTGGCATTATCTAATCCACTAGTTAGTGACTTATATAAATGAATATTGACATATTAATAGTGTGAACTCTTTTTCTATAGCAATAATCCCTTTGTGCTTTCATTATTCTTTCTTTCCTATCATTTTTCATTCCCCTCTCCCTTATTCTCACTTATTTATACTGTAACCCTATACCCCATATAAACTGTGTCAAAGTCCCTTTCTTAAATCTTAATCTAATTTAACCTATTAAATTGGATCGACTATAACCCCTAATTATCAGGATTAAACCTGATAAGTGCAAAGTGGGGGGTATAATTAACTCCCTTAAAATGCAAAACAAATACCATAAAATCTTAAAGATTACTTCCAAGATATATAACATAAATGGCAGCATATCTCCTCATTTATACCTATATGAACATGATAATAATTACCTACTTATAGCTAATAGTATTTACCCCATGAGTTACAAACGTAACTTGAGTGGAGTAATATAAATAATCCCATCATTAATGCATTTCATGGCTCTTACCCTTTATACCCAAATAATATTAGTTATTAATATACGTATACACAATTTATCCTAAACCAACATTACATATATCCCTTCTCCCCCTCTACCCCTACATACATAACATTGCATCTTACCCCAAAATTATTATTTAGTTTGGGGTTAGCAAAATAATGTAGGATAATCATTAAATTGATATTTGTCAATAAAGCATTGTGAGAGGCCAAATGGGAAACAAAAAAGTATATGTAACCTCAATTATCTATAGAATATAGCCCATATTTACTACATTCAGAATGGTATTATTCATCTCCGAGTTATCAATATGACCTTAATAGGTCTATAAATAAGAATTAACCTCCTGTATTTGTAAGAAGGATAACCAATAACAAAAAAAAATCTCATTGGTGTTGAATTACATTACAACTTAGTCTTCTTAGTCATTCTTAGATCTTCTATAGTTTCTATGACTGAATTGCCTCTTGCGCTGCCAAGGAATCTTTAAAGAGATGCTGTTGATCTTAGAAAACCACTTTTAAGGCAGTAGGGACGTTCCATCTATATTTGATATTATTTGCTCTAAGGATAGAGGTTTGATTCATATATCGCTTCCTTGCTTGACGCTTTACCAAAGAAAGATCTGTGAATAGCTTGATATCCTTACATTATGGGTTGGGAATTTGATTTTTCTGACCTGCTTGTATAATTACATTTTTAATAAAGTTATTAGAGAAACGTACGATTACATCTTTTGATATATCCGGTGATATATTCTTAGGCCTGTAGAGCCTGTGCAATCTTTTGAATGGGTATTCCCCTAAGCCGAATCTGCAGGTATAAATTTAGAAAAGACTACTCTTAAATATTGATCCATTTGATCTGAAGCAATCGATTCTGGGACGCCTCTTACTTTTACATTATTTCTTCATGTGCGATCCTCCAGAATGACTAATGTGTTCTCCAATATAGAAATCTTCTTTTCCAAGTAATTATTCTTTTGAATTAATTCTTCCTTAATCTCTTGAATTGTAAATAACAGAGTTCAAGCATCAAGCAAATCTCCTAACACTGAATAAGCTATGGGACGCCTACCGTCAGCAACTCAAGCCCCTTTAAAATAACCTTATAACAACTGTTTAATCACAAATGCATTGTGATCCCTACTACTGACTTACCTAAAAACCACAAAATCATGTTACACCTGCTAAGCGTCTGGAGATGGTGTGTTTAGATATACCATTATTAATAAATTGAATCACAAAAGAGAAGGCAGCTTCTATATTTCCACCTGCTGGATAACTCGTCCAGATTAATTGCCAAAGGCATTTTTTGCAATTCCACGCACTCTTCTTCTGTGTTCGGCACTAAACTTCTGAAAGATCTGAGCTGACAACGAGAGATAGCATCAGCTATTTTATTCTCAATACCCGGAATATGCACAGCCTTTAACCGTATATTATGTTTAAAACATAACCATACTAGCTTTCGCAACAAATTAATAACAAATCCACCTTTAGAATGCATTGATTTAATGAGATGTACCACCGACTTATTGTCACAGTGGAACAAATTTGTCTACTCTGCAGTTCCTAGTCTAAATTGCTGATACAATTGGTAACAGTTCCAGCAGGGTTAAATTTGTGGTTAACCCTTGTTCCACCTATTCATCTGGCCACTGTGCAAAGGCAGTTTTTTTGTTCCAGAATATGCCAAAACCAACTGACCCTGCGACATCCACAAATAATCCTAAAGTTTCATTATCCTGAAATTCCGTTTGCAATAATGAACAGCCATTGTATTCTTGTAATAATTGATCCCAAACTTTTAACTCTTCTTTAATTTCTGCAGAAATCCTTACGAAACTTTGAATTGATTTCTTTTTACACAAGCCAAAGCCATTCGCCTACAAAAAATTCTTCCTATAGGCATCATACAACCTGCAAATGCTAACAGGCTTAATCACGAGTGAAACTGCTTTACCATTGCTTTTTTTTTTTTTTGCTTGCTTGCTAAAAGAATCCAATATGGTTTTATTTTTGTTTAACTAATCAATCTTTTTTGCTGGCAGCTTACATTCAAATTCAACAGAGTCACTTGTTATTCCTAAGAATTGAATACATGTCCCTGACACTGTCTTCTCCACTGCTAACCGAATACCAAACCATCCGGCTAAACTACAGAAAAACTTTAACACATTCTGAACCTGAACTAGGACCAATTAGCAAAAATCATCCAGATAATGTACAATAGAATATAAACCGGTCTCAATATTAACAAACCATTCCAAGAATGAAGAAAAGCTTAGAAATAAAAACAGGAAATGGAGCAACCCATTGGTAAACATTTATCAAAATAAAATTCACAGAGGGATGCACTGGCAATAGCCTAAAATGCTGACTCAATGTCCACCTTAGCCATTATGGCACCCGGTCCAAATTCACATACCCCTCCGAGTGCATCATCAGAATATGCAAAGGCCACTGAAATTAGCCTGAATGACCCGTCCCTTTTTTAGGAATTAAACCTAAAGGAGAAAGGCGAAAATTTGCAAGAGGAGGCCGGTCAGAAGGACCCGCTATTCTAACTAATTTTAACTCCTTTTGCAATTTCCTGCTGACAGATGCAGCATCCTGAAAAACAGATTTTAAATTATGAACAACTGAACCAGAAATCATTGGAATCTTAAACCTTCTGCAAGACATTGAAGCAATAACTTAGCTCCCTCCCTGCTTGGGTACGCCTGGAGAAATGGAAGACTCCTTTCAAGCTGCACTGGTATCCATGCCTTTTGAAACTGGTCTTTTCCCTGACTGGATCCTGCGGCAATTATGTTAAAGCAGCGAAAGGCGGAATGATTTCCACCACAGCATGCGCACTAATGCTTAAGTTACACGTATTTGGCCATTTACAATGCCATTCATTAAATGCCCAACATAGGCCTTTTCATCGTTCCTATTGTGCTATAAGTGCCGACATTAGTCGCTGCTTTAACCAACAATCTCTGAGGCAGCATTAGATTCAGCCAAAGACTAACATCCTTCACTCCCCATTTCATGGAAGAGTGGACAGCCAGTCTTTGTTTGAAAAGTTCAAACCACGCTAATTCGCCAAAATTCTTAAAAGCCTCTATATAACTTCCACATGTTGGAAAAGTCCGCCACATGATTTTGGCTTCTTCTCTCCCAGTACAACTCAGAAAAACAAAAAATCTTGCAGCCAGTTATTAAAATCACGTGGGATCAATCTACGCTTTTCCTCATCCTTGTCACTCTCTGCTTTGTGAAAATCCTTTGCTGAAGGCAAAGCGACAGCAAATCACCATATTCAACATGTTCACCTTTCAAAATATATATATTACATGAAAACATGCACATGGCAGAGCTTCTTTCTTACCATATTCATTAATAAATCCTATTTTTTAACTACTATTCCCATTACCCCAAGCCTGAGCTGGGCTTCCTTTTTTCTGTAAAAACCTTTACCACGTCAAGGACCACTGCTAATGTCTCACTAATCTTAACCAATTCAGCAGAGTTGCGTTCATACTCATCAACTGAAGTACCAGCTCTGCCTTGCATCTCCATTTCTTCTAGGACTGGCATGTCATCCAGATGACACTCACTCCCATCATTCGACTTTCTTCATGTTTTCATCAGGACGTTCTCATCCTGGCCCTCTACTTTACCCTGACCTACAACAGGTACAGGGGAAGAGGGCAGGCTTCTTTTACACCTTCTCTTCTTTCCATGAGCCGTTTCTTTAAATTCTGGAGGCGATTTTTGCACCGGACTGCATTCTCTCTTTTTTCCAGCATGTGGCGCTCTTCCCCAGTTGTACCACGCATGAGCACGCCTCTGTCCCGCTGTGCAAGTCGTGCCGCTGATCGGAACCTCTTTCAGACGATGGGGAGGATGCTGCTACAGGAGGCTCCCTGTCAGCGTTGGAAGCCCCCGGCACTGAAATGAAGCAGTCTCTTAACCAGGATTCCGCTACAGGCGATCGCAGGATTTTCTCCAGAGGGGACATCAAGTCCTTAGAGGACATGTTGCGGCTGGAACAGGTGAGGCGGTGGGGGTCCGTCTGTGCTTCTCCTGTCTTGAAAGACCGCTGAGAGGGATTGCGCCCGTGCTGTCACTTTTATACTTACATGACTACCTGCTCTTTTGCTTGCGGGCAGCAACCAATCCCCAACCAGCTCTTATCCCCAGCAACAGCTGTGTCACCAAATCTGCCCAGCTACTTGTCCCACTCTGCCCAACAACCTAACCCCCAGCCAATGCTCAATCAAATTATTTAGCTGTCGTTTGCATTTTAGAGAAGTTTAGAGCAGCCGGGAGAATCTCATATAAATCTGATGCATATTGCACAATCATCCCTGGATAGTTTCTTAATAGCACAGTATTTAACAAGATATTAGCAGAGGCATTTCATTGTATAGTCAAACAAATAAGGCAGCAAGAAAATGGTTTAGGAAGAGTGAAAAAAAATATATATTTATCTTCCATCACAATTATTCTTGGAAAAGGTTACTAGAGAATCATATAGAATTTTTTATTTGTTGCAGCCAGTAGAATATTCAGGCTATATATTTGCCTGTCCAATGTCCAGTTTTATACAACAGCAATACTTAAGATTAATGACTAGATCTAAAATATTTCAACCAGGTGATCCCTGGGTGTACTCAGCCTAAGTCCACTGCCTCCTACCGTCGCCACTCACCGCCAGACGTGTCCCCCACACAGCACAGAAAGTACGGTCACGGGAGAATGGCAGACAGGTAGCCACAATATAGTGGAGCAGGTCAACCCTTCTTCCCAAGCAATCGTTCGGCAAGTAGACCACAGGGTCTCACAGGTTGTCAACTCAGCTTAAATCCACTTCTCAGCGTTTATTTTTTCCACATGGTATGGACGCTCTCCTCCTCAAACCCATAACCTCATGGGCGCGGTTGTGTGTGTGCTCACATGTCACGTCATCACCCGCCCAATGTCAATTCCCCGCTGTTATTCTTTTTTAACATCTGAAGCGAACTTAACATTCTCAAATTAAAAAGAGGCGGATATTGTCAGTTATTCACTATACCACAAAATGAAATACATAAGTATATTAAAATATTAGCATATTAAATCTGAATGGCAAAACTGAGGCAAAGATGATTTGTAAAAATTCTGCAACTCCTCAACTATTTTAGCATCAATCTTGATATTCAAGCTTTATCTGTAAAAAAAAAAATGAAGAGTTTAGCAAATAACCATGTCTACATACAATGAATGATGATTTCAATTCAATAGATTACAATTATCTAGTAGCAGAAATGAGTAGCAGATGCAGAGGGAGGCACCAGTGCAAATGATTTCCCCTATGATAAGCCAGGTACATAAGGAACATGTCTGGCTGCCAGCAGAAACTGACTGAAGGATCATCTCCCATTCTATCCCCAAATGCCCTCAGCCAAGATGTTAATAAAATACACTTGTGCCAAGAGTTACATGCACGGCTGAATGCAAGGGAGCAGTGTTACTGCTATCCTTTCTTCTTGCCCTGCCTCTGATCTGGTGACTCAGTGATTTGCTGATAATGATAGGTATAATCTTATAACATAAATAGCATGAAGTGGAGCTATTAAAATTGTACAGGGACACCAGAGTCACCAAAACAGCTTAATGAAGCTGTTTTAGTGTATAGATCATGCACCTAACTGCAAAATTCTCTGTCCTTTAGGAGTTAAATCACTTTTTTTTCTGTTTATGCAGCCCCAGCCACACCTGCCCTTGCTGTTACTCACACAGGCTGCAATTATTTTATTTTCAATCAGATGTTAATTTTCTTTAGAAATTTGTATCTCCTGCTCTGCAACTTGAATTTTAATCACATAGAGGATGCTCCTGCACGGTCTAGCACGCTATTAACAGTGCAGGAGATAGGAAATTCCAAATTAAACAGATTTTGCAATAAAGGAAGTATAAACATTAGATCTCACTTGACAGGAAGTGTTTAGGATGGCTGTGTTAGTCACATATAGGGAGGTGTGGTTAGGGCAATTGTTTTGGTGACTATAGTCTCCCTTTATGCGTTCCCAGTTAGGCTATTTAAGTGATTAAGTGTACATAGTGATACTGTTTGGGATGTGATGTACTCATGAGTGAAGCAGCTGATTACTACTTAATTATAGATATATTGATCACATTAATTTTTATTTATTTATTGTTTTCTTCTTTTTAACCTAAAAGATAAGTTCCCTATTTTTTTTAATCTAAAGGATTTGCAAATGCTTCCAAATCCTTTCCAGATTTTGATAGGTATGATACTATTGTTATAGTAGACAATATAACTATTTATTTAGCAAGAGTAAATTATTTTAAAAAGTAAAAATGTTGAAAAAAGAAATCTCAACAATTTTATCTCTTGTATTTTGTACCAAGTAGTTAAGCCAAAGGAAAGTGCCATAACATACAGTTAATTATTTATTTTTTCCTAAATTCTTGGAGTAAATCATATGACTAGGAGTTTCACAGGTAGTCCTATACTGCAAGAACCATATAACTGTTTCCAAGCTAAAAGCTTTTAGAATTTGGTATGCTTGGCCTGCATGTTTAATAGTTGCTTGGAACCTAAAATCAATTAGTTTAAGAAGATGACACTTCCTGGTATTTTTGTACACTTTCACACATCTATTTCACCAGTTTCTTTTAAAAATATGTTTTTATTTTATTTAAAGCACAATTGTCACTTTTCTCCAAGTGAAAATTACTAAAATCCTAAAAGTAAAACCTACTGAAGTACTTACTGGAGAGTGCAGTGCACCAGAGGAAAGTAAAAAACAAACAAAAAAAAAACCAGAACCTACTTACCATTGCAGTATTACTATGGCTAGGGTGCCAGATATTTGCATAATGCTCTGGGTGCCCAACGGGCATTTTCTGAGAAATATTGTATTATCATGGGCACTCTGGCCTTCCTTCCGTAGGATGGTATGAGCATATGCACCTGCTAGTATTTATATTAGAAGAACATCAAAATGTCACAAAGGGAGGGGCGAGGCTTGTCAGCGAAGCTAAACAGACACCATTTCCCGCGGCTCCCGCTGACTCTGGGCTAATCCACTAATTATCACCTACTACAGGGGCCATCCAGCATAGACTGATCTCCTCCTTGCTACTACAGGTGCCCCTGCATCCATTGATGCCTTTCTTTCAGGCACCGAAAGCTGTAAAGCCAAGGTGCAAGTTCGGGGCCTACAAGACACCAGCCTTTCCTGATTCAGACTCCTTCCAGGGCAGGCTGCTTTGCGAAAGTGCCGCGAACCTTGCACCTCAACCCCTTCTACTGATAGCAGCTCCCACACAGACCATGGTGCGGAAGACACAGAAGCCCACACCCAGAGCTGTGCCTGACTCCAAGGATACAGGCACCCTGCTGCAGAGGCAATCCCTACCAAGATGTCGGCCGAGGAGAATGAGCATGCCATCACCACCAGACCCGCCGGATGGCGGGGGGACACTCTCTTCACGTGAAAGCCTGACAGTCACTAACCAACTGGAAGCCCTTACGGGCAATCTTGCCACCAAACAGGACATTCAGGCCCTCCTACTTGATATCCAAAAGCTGTGGGCAACTGACCTAGCAGTAATAAGGACAGAAGTCCAGCAAGTCACAGACAGAATGAAGGCCACAGAGGAAGACGTGATGGACCTGCGCACGGAGGCCTCATTCCACACACTCCAAACTGCCCAACAGACACACACCACCCAATGTTCAGCTATGGAAGATCACCATAGGCTTAACCACATCAAAATAAGAGGAGTCCCAACCGCAATCACGGCGGATGAACCGCTTCATTATCTTCGCCGCCTGGTGGCAACTGTGCTATTCCTCCAGGTGGCCAAAAAATACAGCATTGACGGAGCATGCAGACTGCCTGGAGCAACCAAAATACCCACAACAGCCCCATGTGATGTCATCATGCGCTGCACCACCTCCCAAGACAACGGGCACCTCCTGGCAGCACTGAGAGGCAAAACACCCTATACGTTTGAAGACTCCAAACTGTATGAATATCAAGACCTCACAAGAGCCACCCTGCAATGGCGTAGGTCTCTTCACCATGTCACAACAAAACTGCGCTCGGCAGACATTTTTTCGCACAACTGCCACCAGGCTCTATATTAACCATGTTATCTTGAAATATGTCCTGAAACACCCACCCCGTACATATGGGCCCATGGGGAAGCAGACACGGGGTAGACCCAACTGGCAATTACCAACTGTTCTCCCAAGCTATCCGCCCACCACATGACGGCTGGCTAGAAAGCACCTCCTCCCCTCCCCCCCTTGCTCCCTAGGTTAGGAGCAAATTTAAAGGTGATACACACTCACCCCTTACTGAAAGGTTCCAACCCTGGTTCATAGCAGATCCCCAGTAGGCCCATCAAGTTGTCTTAATGTATCACGTAGTTGTGTCCTTTCCCTCTCTAGGGAATCTCTACATGGTAACTACCACAAGAATAGCACTCTCACAGAGACACATGTATACCCTTGAGACGCTAGCATGTCACTCCTTTAACCCCTTAAGGACCAAACTTCTGGAATAAAAGGGACTCATGACATGTCACACATGTCATGTGTCCTTAAGAGGTTAAGCCTGTGCTTGTTTACCTCTCCTCAATATACCTCTAAAAATAGTGCTGACTCTGAGATATGTCTTGCTATGATAAGATACTCTTGTCTCATTTTAAACTATGTCATAGTGCAATCACTGTCATATTGTACCACCAGCACAACAAAAATAAAGAATGATAAAAAAAAATGTCACAAGGGGGAACAGCACCTACCCACGGGATGCACAAGAACCTGGTTCCACCTCCAACCAAAACAATAAAAAAAAAAAGGTTCTAGCGCATTCTTTTTAGCACATTGTCTTTTTATTCAAGTGTTCTTAATGTAAAAAGCAGCAATGTTTCAAACACAACAGGGGTCATTGGGACTGCAAAAACCACAGTTGCAGCTGAAATGTTGCTGCTTTTTACAAAAGTACAGATTTAAAAAAATCAGCACTTTTTAAAAACAATGTATTTAGTAACGGAATGGGTAAATATTTTCACAAACATGAAAAAAGAAATCTGAAATTTTAAAAATACACCTTATTAACACCAGCTTGGGGAGTATGGAATGGTTTCCAGCCTCACTCACTTTGAACTGTAGTTCAAGGTGGGAATGCTCATGGAAAAGCATTCTTGGCGAATTTCTGTATGATCCATGTCTCCCAATGCTTCTTGAGTAGTATCGGATTGGACATCAGTAATGTTGACTTCACCAATTTAAGTCAGATTTTAGTCAACAACATTTTTTTTAGATTTCATTCGACTAAAACTAGACTAAAACTAAAACAATTCAGATGACTAAAATATGACAAAAACTAAAATGACATTTACAGAAAAAAATAACACTGGCAGCGAGGAGACTTACCTGATGCCAGAAGGTAAGTAGCGTCATGGTAGCCTTCATATGGACAGGAACACTAAATCATTAGAAATACAGGTTTGTATTCCTAATGCTTTAGTGTTTTCGTTTAAACCCAGTTTTACGTTAATAACAATTTCTAACTTCGGTGGCATTACTATCAGAAAAATGTTGTGACATTTTTAGATTATGATTTTGTTGAAAACACTTTGCAATACCAGCTGAAAGTCACTGACACGGAATCATAACTTACCCTATTGTCCCTTTTATATTTATCTAATTTGCAAAACACAAGCAAGCAAGACTAATGTTCATATGTTAAATTTATCTGACAGCAGAGAATACTGAATATACTGCAGCATGTGATAAAAAATGGAAGAGACAGACACAGAGAATGTGCAAAATCTATGAGGCTTTTTGGTTATTCTCACAGAGTGTACGTTGGACTTTCTCAGCAGAAGTGTAATATATCACAGTCTTGTAAAGGCTGAAGCAAAATGAATATCAATAGTGCTAAAACAAAGTCATGTCTGATTCTGTTTGCAGACGGCTGGTTTCTTTGAGGTAAATAGAAAACTTCAGAAAGGCTCAGTCAACATGATAGATGAGCCATAGTTGTAACTGTAACTCTGTAGTTGTGAACCTGTGTTGCTAAATTAAAGGGGCACTATAGTCACCAAAACAACTTTAGCTTAATGAAGCAGTTTTGGTGTATACATTATGCATCTGCAGTCTCACTTCTTATTATCTGCCATTTAGCAGTTAAATCACTTTTGTTTCTATTCATGCAGCCCTGGTCACACCTCCCCTGGCTGTGAATCACACAGCCTGCATGGGAAAATTAGACAGTGGCTTACTTTAAAAGTTTTTATCTCATGCTCTCTATATTGAACTTTAATCATATACAGCAGTGGTTCCCAACCCAGTCCTCAAGTGTTCCTGCCAGTCCAGGATTTAGGGATTACCCAGTTGTGTCTAAGGTGTTTTTAGATTTAAAAAAAAAAAAAAAAAAAGCTATTTATAGAGCAGGAGATGAGAAATTCTATATTAAACATAATTTGCAATAAACGAAATATAAACATTAGATGACTCTTTACAGGAAGTAGTTAGGAAGGCTGTGCAAGTCACATGCAGGGAGGTGTGATTAGGGTTCATAAACAAAGTGATTTAACTCCTAAATGGCAGAGAATTAAGCAGTGCGACTGCAGGGACATTATCTATAAATCAAAACTGCTTTATTAAGCTAAAGTTATTTAGGTGACTAGTATCCCTTTAACTATGAAGCTCTTCAGTCTGTATTATATCAGATGATTTTTGCTTTGCCATTATTTTACCTGGTGGCTAATGGGTGCAGTTGTATGGCTGGGACTAATGAGTGTTGAAGAATAGCTGTGATTAAGGCTGTGGGTATATAGCTAGAGGTAATGAGTGTGAACGCATGACTGGAGGTAAATGATTTGGATGTGTGGCTGAGGGGAGATGAGTGTGAGTGGATGGCTGGGGGGGAAGTCATGTTGAAATATGGCATCCTGTTCAGATATATCCGCCCTCACCTTATCATATGTTGAAGACATCGCTGTGTAATAGCACCATTGACAACATCGGTGTCCAACGTGCGTGCTGGTGCTGATATTAATTTTTTTGAGGCCTCTGCTAAACTGTATGTCCTCTCGCCTTACCTTCTACTACAGTTCTGAGCAATAGGTGATTGTGTGCAGGATTTATCCAGCTTTTACTCACATTTTAGAACAAAAACGTCTGTGAGGGTGTACCCAAGTTCAGTTAGGATGTGTTTGCATGATTTATAGACTGTCCCCTGCTTCACAAAGGTTACTGGAGCTCATATAAGAAACTGCAGTGCCTCACATACACATGCAAAACCAAATAGTTCACACAGGCCTTTCCGAATAAGCCAGTTAATCCACCAAATTCCGCTGACGTTAGGGAGCTAAATCACAGGATACACCCTACATTACCACTCGCACTGTTCCTTTAATTAGTGTGAGGATAATTCTAAAATAAAATATATATTTTTTTTTATAACAATTTTTACAGTGTACAGAAAGAGGCAAATTCAAAACAGCAGATACAAAGTTCATATAATTTTTTTAAACACATATTGAAGTTATATAAAACTCATGTTACTTCTGTGTATTGTCATGCAGAAAAGAAACTATTAATAATGCTAAACTGCGTGTTGACAGCATTTCTTGTTTGAGGCTCTGGGGTGTCTGTGGTAGATGGCAGGACAGCTGTGCCGCAGATCTAAACAGATGACAGATACATTTTTTTGTTGTTTTTTTTTTTTAACTTAGCAGATGCTTGTGAACTACATTTCAAAGGGAATAATTAAAGTTATGTATTACTACTTAACAAAGGTAATCTACTCGGCAGCAGTAATTATATGAATTACAATAATTATCTGAATTATCTGAATACAATAAAATATTAAAATATAAGAGTTTTTGTATCATTCAGTTAACCTTATAAACATAGGCGTGCGTATTGTGAGTGGGGTGCCCTAATGCAGCAAGAGTGCAGTCTGCTGATATTCCAGGAAGATGAAAAGGTCTCCCTGACTGGCCCAGTTTTCCCTGGTCATCATCCCCCTGGCAGAGAAGTCAAGCCAAGTAATGACTGCCATGGTCCCCAGCCAGAACCTGATCCAGGGGAAAGATTTTAATCTGTACTTCCAGGCCAAGTTCTCCATTGTTTTACTGTATTATTATAAGTGTTGCTGCAGGTTACCATAGCACCACTCTAATACATCTCCGGGCACATGCCGGAAGGAGCAAGTCAGCATCCGACAAGGGAGCAAACAAACACCAAACCACCAGGGATTAGGATTATTCCCTTCCGTAGCCCATGGCAAACCTCACGAAGGGGAGAAAAATACTGCATTTGCCTTTTTATTTTTGTATCAAAGCCCCTTCTCTACACCAGACATGGCCTAACCCTCCATGTCAGCCTCTAACCCTCCACTACACCACTTAACCTCCCACTTCAGCCTCTAACCCTCCACTACACCACTTAACCCTCCACTACACCCCCTAACTCCCCACTTCAGTCTCTAACCCTCCTCTACACGGCCTAACCCCTACTTCAGCCTCTAACCTTCCATTACACCACATATCCTTCACTACGGCCTCTAACCCATCTCTACACCACCTAACCCCTCACTTCAGCCTCTAACTGCCCACTACACCATCTAACTCCACCACTTCAGCCTTTAATCCTGCACTACACCACCTAGCTCACCATTTCATCCTCTAACCCCCAACTACTGCCCCTAACCCCCAACTACTGCCACTAACTACTAACTACAGCCCCTAACCCACTACTACATCCTCACTACTTCACTTGACCCCACACAACTGTCCCTAGCTCCCCACTACATCCCCTAACCCCCCACTACATCCCCTAACCTCAACTACAGCTCCTGATTCCTACAATTGCCCCAAACCACTCAATACTGTCTCTAACCCCTACTACCTCTTAACCATCCAAGACAGCCTTTATACCTCACTACAGCCCCTATCTCCCACTACACCCCAAATTCCTGACTATTGTCCCAATCCCCCACTACTACCCCTATCCCCCACTACAGCCTTTAATCCCTACTTCATTCTCTATCCCCCAACTACTGCCTTTATCCCTTCAACTGCCCCTAGCACGACAAGCCCCACACTACTGTCTTTAACCCTCTCCCCCTCCTCCCCTCCTTCCCCCCACACTATATTGGGCTAAAGGGCAGCTAACTTAAATCTCTCTTCCCATTTTGTACTAAGTGGAAATGTCACTACTTCTCAAATGTATTTCTTCTCATGTGTATTGTGACATTCATTCACAGACACACACTGACAGACACACACACATGTTCACTCACAGACACACACTGGCAGGCACACAGACATTTACTCACTTGCAGACACATACTGACTGACACACACATATTCACTCAATTACAGACACATACTGACAGACTCACACACATTCACTCACACACTCACTCACTGACACATTGATACTGACACACTCACACTCTCACACACTTACAATTAAGTGGATTTGTAAGAGTGAATTCTTCCCTGGGGTCCAGTGGGGTTGGCTGCTGCTGGGCAGGCACAGGATTGCGGTCAGTCAGCAAATTCAAGAGGCGCAGGAGCTCTGATCTTCCTGCTCAGCTTCCTCGTGCCGCTTAGTGATGCTGGGAGCCGGAGTAACGTCACATTCTGGCTCCTGGCATCACTGCGGTGCGCGCTAGGGATCTGAGCAGGAAGAGCTCAGAGGACAGTCACCACGCGCCCATAATATTAGCAGCTGAAGTCCTCAAGGGGTTCCTGAGCTGGCCAGTTGGCCAGCTCTTGGGTCCCCCATGAAAGAGGCTAACAAGGTATTTGCCAGGGCACTTGGGGGGCAGCGTTTTTTTCCACCTCCTTAAAGTGCCACCCAAGGCAAATGCCTTGTTAGCCTCGTTAAAGATACAGCACTGTGTGTGAGTATGTTTGTGTGACTGTTTGTAACTGTGACTGTGTGTATGTGCGTGTGTACTTTTGTATGTTTCTGTGAGTGTGCATGTAGGTGCGCATATGTGTATCTGTGAGATACATATGAATATATGTAAAATATTTGTATGTGTATACTTATCTAGATATCTATAAATGTGCAACTATTTGTGTCTGTATTTGTGTATATGTGAGTTTGTGTCTGTATATATGTATTTGTTTGTGTCCGTATGTATGTACCCATATTTATCTGTGTGAATGTGTCTCTATGTGTGTGACTGTGAGTGTGTATTATGTATCTGTGTTTGTTTGCATGTGTGCACCTGTGAGTGTGTGCCTCTCTAAGTGACCACTTCCATGACTGATTGCAGTTTCCACATGTGTATACTTGTGTGGATTAGTGAGATGAAGTGGGCTATCGTACCATAAAACACCTAGTTCTATTTTATCTCCCAGGTCAGGCCTGACAGCTACTCACACAAAGCCACACACATCACTCACAGCTACCCACACATTACTCACAGCTACCCACACATCATACTTTGTCATGGACATCACTCACAGTGGCCTAAACATATCACTCACAGCTCCTCACACAGCTACATACACCACTTACAGATACCCAAACGCAGCCACACATATCACTCACAGCTATACTCACATGAGACACAGCCAGCCTTATACCTCACACGCAGAAAGCCACAGCACACACTTCACACACAGCTACAACACTTACAGCCACCCTACACACACACCACATATTCACTCAACACTTTAATAAATATTCACATTACATAACAATACAAAAATAACATGGGGTGGGGAGGGGAATTTTGCTGGTGTGCACCCTGATGAAATAGGCTGCACACACCTATGCTTACAAAGAATAGACATCTGACACATGGTATATACATTATGCTATCCATTTGGTTTTCTGTATAACCATAGCTTAATGCCTGTATCCTGTGCCAAGATTTTAATTGTATAAGTAAATATATATTTCTTTGCGGTTTTCTTTACCACAAACTGAGCAGTTGTGAAACTGTCGACAGATTGTACAATTCCCCACTCAAGTAAAATTTGGCCAGGATAGGGACCCAGTATAGCCAAGGTAGTGTGTCAAACGAGTTATGTTTACATTCTTAGGGAGTGAGAAGTCATGGGCAGTCCTCTAAAACAGCGAGATTTATTGGAAAATTAGATGTTTAATTTAAGAGAGGTGTTCACAGACCGACAAGGTATGATTCATTATTGTTTCCATTTCCTACTTATGATTATAACTGGAGCTCTGCAACCTGTAAAAGGTGTCACAATTCCAGGAGTTCTTTAGTAAGTCACATATGAATAGAGTCAAAAGGATATACATTGTAGTCATATGTAAAAGTACATTTATACATATGCACAGACACAGATTTACACATATATAATAAAATGAGATTGGTCCGTAATTGAATAGTGTCTTTTTTTCATTTTACAAAAAATACACATTTCAATAGAACTTGGCACATGTATAAATTAACCTTGTTACTCCCCCACGGCTGTCAATCAGACAACTGTTTTTTTTACTTCCTGGCTTGGCTAGCCCTGTGGAGCTAAACTCAAGAGGCAGCAATTGCACAGAGAAACTGCCTTGCAAAGACTTTTAATTGAGCTGCATTGGGAAGTCTGTAATTGGACAGCAACAGAGAGTGCGAGGTGGGGAAGAAGGAGACGGCTTGCAACGTCTTCAGACAAGAAATCTGCTGCTTTAGCAAGCTGTTTGTAGATATACCCCTTTGACGGAGCTCCAGTACTCCGACCGAGTACCTCCGCGAAGTCTGCTTCCTCATAGCTATCAGGGACCCTGGAGCACTTCAGACTAGGGATTGACTGATATTGATTTTTTAGAGCCGATACCGATAATCTGTGAACTTTCAGGCCAATAGCCAATAATTTACCAATACCGATATTCTGTACATTTACCATTTTTTAAAAATTAACTATTTCTACACAAATCTACTGTTAACTGAACATGTTTATTATTTATTTATTTTTTTGCAAATCTTTTTTTTATTAAGGTATATATTGAGGTTATTTGGCATTTTGTAGGAGTTTTACAGTTCAAATCACCTCATAAATGCATGCCATTTGTAACACTACGGTGTATGTCATCTAGCATATTTTGAGCCCTATAATACAGCCATTTAGGCACCAATTTCTTTCAAAATGTATGTTGTTATATTTTTATTTTTTTTACATGCACATTGCAATCTGGTAGTTTATTTTGTAAACTTGATTTGTGCTACTGTAATAAAAATCACAAAATTGTGCACAGTTATATCTCCTTAGTACAGAATGACCCTCTTCGCATACGCTTGTCAAGTTTTTGTGAAAATACAGAATTGAATTTATAAATTACCCATTGCAGTTTGTTTTTTTCAATGGCAAATTGAAGATGGGTCTGATGATACACTTTGGGGCATTGTAGTACACACCTACATGCAAACACAAACACTACAAACACAGCCCTGCATTCAAGCACCAATACCTCACACAAATATGCCCCAACATTCAAACATAAACATTATGCATAAATACACAAACATTTACACACACCTACAAAAAACACACCTACGTTCACACTCAATGCTACACACAAATACAACCCTGCAAGGATTGGGAAATGGTAGATCCACAACTGGCAAAGTATTACGAGAGTTGTAAGGTAGTTAAAGGTCTACTTTTTTGGGCACCCTTCCTCTATTGGAGGGTTTAAAAAATTGTTTGCATCAAGGCCATTTTTCATTAGTTTTGCTACTGGATGGATGAAAACTTTACTAAAACAAAAAGAAAATGCATAACTCAGTCCTTCCTCGTGCCATGGGACATCCAAATCCCATAGTCTCATACAATGTTTGAACTGTGTGAATAATTTGCACACAGAGAATTCTACATGAACCTTGAAACATAGAAAACTGCCTTTTTGTGGGGAAATATTTGCATTCATGCTTTTCGTATTCCAAGCTAGCACTAATGTTTTGTCAGTTGAGTTGGAAATGGGGCATATTAGTAGCGAGAGGCAGCCAGGAAAGAATTTGGCTGTGTAATTGAGCTGGGAGACTGTGCAAGTAACTATTAGGTTAGGTCACACTTGCAGGTGCTGATTAGGTTAAGGGTTCATTTTAGCCAAGTCCATTAATCCAAAACAGTGTTGCATTAATTGTTGTAAAGTCACTACAGACATCGTATAGTATAATGTATTTTTTTTATTTGTATGATCCTCTTAATTGTGTGGTATTGATGGTATCTTGAAGTGGTAATGTTAGTCAGTTTTACTCCAGTCCTCAAGGCACATTAACATTCCATTAAATGGAGATTTCCTAATTCTATTCCAGTGGGAATATTGACAAATCCTCGACCATTTGAGGCCTGGGTTGGGAACCACTGCCCTAAAAGATAATATTTCTTGCCAGCACATGTGACAGTTCCGGGCTGCCTAATGTCAATTCTGTGCGAAATTACGGCTGTCATCAGGTGTAATTAACTTGTTGACTCTTTCAGACAGATCACAGCCAGATCTCTATTCTACCCCACTCCTACGATATCCCAGCTATGTGACCTTGGACTGGAAAAATGGAAATGTTTCAGCACAACCCCGAAAATGACTCTGTATTGTTTAATCATCTATCACTCTACTTACCTGCCTATCAACCACAGATTACATAAACAAAGTAATGGTTATGTGCCAAGGTTACCCTGTCACCTACCTATTTTAGTTAGTGAAAACATTTTTGGAATGGCTTGACTGCTTACCGTGTGTGAAGCTTCCTGCCTCCACTACTTCCAACAGAGAGATGGAAGCTCTGGTGGTACAGGGCTTAGCTCATTGGCTAAGAGAGATTAGCTGACACTCTTAGTCAATGAGATACATTACACTGCAGACTCTCTACATGCCAGTGGGGAGCCTCAGTGCACTCATGGTTCTAGAACCACTAGAGCACACAGTAGTGAATTTGATCCTTGGAGTGTTCTTTTAATCTTCGCAGCATTCATAAAAGTAAAACCCTATTCAATGCCCCACACCACTAAAAAATTTTTTTATTATTCATTCTACATGGTCCTATTTACTTTATGTGTATGCTTAGCCATTTAAAATAAACCCCTGGACTACTTATCTATAACATGACTGCTGACCCATCCTCCTTTTACCTTCCTGTTGCCCTCCCAATAAGAAACCACACACTTTTCTTGTGGATAAGGGCAACGGCCACAGCTTTATTAACTTAATTCAAATCCAATAACCATGACCTGTCAGCTGTTGGGTGGTTAACCCAACAGGCAGTTCTCCACCTCAACAGCCGGCACTTGCCATCAGCCCTTGTGAGGTCTGTCGTCTCCCCAACTCGACTCTGTGTCTTTCTCCTTTACTCCCAGTTGCGCTGTCCAGGGATCCCGCCAAGCTGTGACAAAACAAGAAACAACAGCAAGACACCAAACAAAACACAGCCAACACATCCATAACCAAGGGGAGGGTGGGTGTGTAAGTTTCTTCCCCACTCCTCTTCCCAAACCCCATATCTTTGCAACATTTTATCCAATTTAGTCCAGGCCCCCCATACATGGGCAGCAGTCATGATCCCCCTTCCCAAGGTTTACAGGGGGAAACTAAATGATTGTTTACTTCCATACCGGCTTCTGCTACATCAAGAGTGCAGTGTTTGCTTGGCAGGTACTTGTATAATTGGACTGATCATCGTACAATTGATCATTAATACTGCGTGACTGAAAAAGGTTAATGATACAATACAGTAAATGTGTAAACAATGTAAGGTAGAATACTGCTTCTTTAAAACTGTATCTGGTTCAGATATTTAATTTAGGCACATTTTTAATGCATCATTCTGGCAAAATGTGAGAATGCATAATTAACCCTTTCCAGTGTGTAGCCGACTCTACTGATACTAGATGGGTTAAAACAACAGAATGATTTTCAATATTTGAAGAGAACGCATCTATTATCATTGCGCAAAGGGAGAATATGTGCAGTTTTCTGCCGGGTCTGAAGCTCTGTTTACATTACTGCAGCCGTTGCCAAGTGTTTTGTAGGTGTCAGACAAGACAAGAACAGAACCTCCACTCAGCTGAACAAGCCATGCACATACAGCCAGACTCTAAATAAACGTCATCTTGGCTGCTTGTCAAGGAAAATCTGGCCGTGTCACCATTGCACCATTTTTTTTTCTCAAAGCCATCATATTTAGCACCTACTTGTTCAGGAACCAGGAAAAGAAATAAGAGCTTGAGTACAGGTGTTGGTGACATCTTAATGTAATGCCACCATGGCGAGGAAAATGCAGCTCATTCGTTTAATGTAGGCGGAAGTTTCAACTTTGCATTACAAGCAACACGTGAAGGACCAGCAATAAACAGGAATAATATATAATGATGACTATTCATGTCTTAGGGAAAATAATTTGGAAGAGGTAAGTTCTTAGAGCAGAGCAAGCAAGACTTTATGCAAACTGTTGCTTCAATGCTTTCCTATGGGGATTTTACGGACGCTGGATGTCCACATGCAGAGCGTAAGGCCGTCCGGCGTCAAAGTCGCTTAACCACCAGGAAGTGCCTTTAGTGGCTGTTTGAGTGACAGCCACTAGAGGCAGCCTGAGTCCTGCAATGTAATCATTGCAGTTTCTCAAAACTGGCAATGACTTACATTGCAGGACTAAGTGGGACAGGGACACTGTACCTAGACCACTACAATGAGCCTACGTGGTCTGGGTTCATTTAGTGTCCCTTTAAAATACACTACCAATTGACGCATACATAAAACATAACTATACACCATTAAAGTACCTAACATGCTTTGGCAAATGTCAAGCATAAGTGAAATATCATGCAAATATGCCATTTTGAAGTCAATACAATTAAAGATGCTAATAAATGTATCAGTTCCCTTACATTTTTAACTGACGCTTCTCATGTATAGTTCTATGCATACAGGATAAATGCTATAAACTATATCCATGTGGTAAAATGAAGTGTACACCCACAATGCCTAGCATGTGATCCCTAAATGCCTAGAAAACAATAAATAAAAAGCAATAAAAGCATTGGAAACCAGCACATGCTGCACAGCCATGTATTCAATTCAACCCCCCCCCATACTACCTAATAGTATCACGTTCTGCAGAGTACTTTTTCACAGCACCCTTATGACAGTCACCTCGGGGGGCAGCACCTCTTCTCCCAGAATAGCTTTGTGGAGAACTATACCATATTTTCCTTGTTGCCTTGCAGGTCAATCAATTATCTTTCTGTTTATATCAGGCGAATGCTTTGTAAAAAAAACCACAAATTCTTCTTGCCCACTCCACTACCTGTAGAGATCAAGAGCTTAAAAAACATATAACACCCAGGTCTTCAGCCCCTAAAGCCTTCCCAAGCAACACCTATGACCATGGATATAGACACATGCAGGCATAGTCACATAAAAAGAAACACGCAGGTGCAGTCACAAGTTACCTTTTTGTTCACGTGTGGTCTGATGACACATGACAGAAGCGGAGTCACTATAGTGAGTCAGTGGTCACTTTACTGAATTGGCAGAAAAAGAGAGAGATAGCAGCAAGCCATTGGCCACACAACATTTAGCTGTCATCCTTAAATTGTGACCCACATCCCTGCATTATGTTGTTTGGGACGCAGCATAAAATACCCCAGGCCTTGACTCACAAAGCAGTTGTTTAGTGTTCCTCAGGACAAGTCCAGGTCAGAGTGTGGGTCACTCAATGGGCATTGAGAGGCTGCATTGGCCCTTTAATAGTTTTGGCACTGTAATTTGGCCCTGTTTTGAGCTTCTCTACAGTTCTCTTTTAGGCACAGCCCCTGGCCCCATCTGTAGAGTTCTGTGTCCCCCAACTCCCTGGAGGAAGATCCACTGATGGCTCTCTCTCTGCAGGTTGCAGCAGTTTAATATAGGGATACTAGTTATTCTCCAGTCAGTGACTTAGTGAGCCAGCCCAGGAACCACTACTCAAGTCAGCACAAAAAGGCCCAGTGCATTGTGCACCAAGAATGAAATTATATATGTGGCATATATCACTGTCCCTCCTCACTCCTGGCAATGTGCCTGCCAGCCTGGGGACTGAATCACATCCCACTCAGCCACCCTCCCAGGTACACCGACAGTTAGTCTCAATGATCTTCCCTGCTTCACATCCTACACAAAAACAGGGAAAACCGTAGAGACTGACTGTTGGTTTTCAAGTACTGTCTAAGCCAAGATGCATGCGCTGAAGGATTATGTCATACACTAAAAGGATGGGATGAGCTTTTCTAATTTATTTACATATATTTAATTTCAAAATATATATTTCCTTTCAATACATGAAAGGATTTTTACTTCAACCAAATAGTTTTAAGGTGACATTTATCCTTCAAAGGCAAGGCAACTACACTTTGCATTTATTCCAATAGACTAAAAATACATATCAATAGTGCCGTTATTGTATTAGCCCTTTGTAGACTTTTTGTAGCCCATGGAGTAGCACAGCTTAGTAGAATAGGGCCTTGACAGAGCTAGGAGGCAGGCATTCAGAGTTAGTGTGTTTGGATTAGCTAGTTATCTCGGATGTGCAGGCTGATACGTATAGGGCAGCTATCTTAAAATGTTCCCATTTTAATGCTTTCTCACAGACCTTGTTGTCCCTGCCACCCTCCCTGATTTTGTGTTAGGTTTGGAGTTATCACAGCGGCGGGAGACTGGATAGGTAAATTGGGGGGTGGAATGGGTTGTTATTAGGGATTAAATTAAATTAATTATGTGTTTTTAAAAGTTGATTTATAAGTTGGTATGGTAAGTTTCGAGCTGGCTTGTGGCTCAGAACCTGAGGGTGTAGTGGTATCTTGGTATACCCCTACATTGGATCATTCGGGCAAGTTCATATGGTAGGTTTCGAGCTGGCCTGTGGCTCAGAACCTGGGGGTGTGGGGTATCTTGATAAACCCCTACATTGGATGATTCGGGGAAATTGTTTGCACTTTATTATGTTTCATGTTGTTATTTATGTTGTTATATTGTTAGGGTGTTAAGTTGTTAATATTGGGGTCATTGTCATTGTAATGTTGTGAGGGGATTAGTTATATACTGTGTCATAGTTTTGTTTAAAAATGACTTTTTGTATTAAAATTGATATCATATTATATTAAAAGCTGTGGATAGAATTTTACCCAACTTACTGGTGTCTGTGCATTATTGGGAATGTATGGTTTTTTTTTATTCCTAATACAGAAAGAGAGCGCGCACTGAATATAAATAAACCACTCACAGAATTAAAAGTTAAAAATAGTATAGAGAGGTTTTTTTGTATTCTTGGGTGTGGGACAATAAAGATGAGTTTTGTTTTGCCTCCGTCATGTTTGATTTAATGCTATCCTTTAATTCACAGACTAAACATTTTACTCTATTATAAAATTTTGTAAACACCCTTAGTGAGGGAAGATTAAAACAGTGGATTGTGTGAACTCAAATCAAGATAAGAAGTGAAAGGAAACACAAGCTTACACAGTGCATTGAAGACAAAACATTTTATAAAACAGGAAAAGACCAACAACAAAAAAATCTACACTTTTTAAATAGGCATGATACGCATTTGGTGAGCTAACAAAAAAGGAGGAAGCGCCTTTTTTGTTCTATTTCATTGTATATCCTATTATATCTTCAGATGCCTGACCACCACATCAGATAACAATTCAATAAACTTTATCAATGTACAACCCGTTAATTCAACCTCTTTCCATATGAAATTCCTAGTTTGTTCTCTGCATGGTCGTATTGTACTTCATTTCAAAATGACATCTTTCTAATAGCCATACATATCTCTTAGACATGTGCATTCACTATTAATCAAATTGTCACGTGTGGAATTCTCTAATTAATGAGGTAGTTTTAACAGATTCCAAAGACATATTTATAAACTGTTCTGGATGTTGTTTTTGAAAAACAGAATATTACAGGATAGAATAGTTAAAATACGCGATAACAGTTTTTTAATCCAAGGAGATATCTGCTTTTTGGAATTAAGAAGGATTTTTTTCCTTTTTTTTTTTTTGTGGCATAAATTGTTTAAAATTGTGTTTTCTACCTTCTTTTGGATCAACCACACAAAATGTGTTTAAAAGTTTGAACTCGATGGACCTGAGTCTTTTTTAAACCTATATTATTTTTTTTACTATGTGTAGGCAGCTTGAACACATTAGGTCAGGTTCTGAAACAATCAGTGTGATTTTTACATTCTCTACAAGAGTCCCAAAAACAGATGAGGGACACTATGGAACTAAATCACAAAGGTGGGACAGGACCTTGAAATCATGACTGAAAGTGGGACAGTTGTTAGCCATTTGTTAATCGAACATATATCAAAGTCCTAGCTGATCTAGCGTCACTTTACCATTCATATACACTGGACAAAATTATAAATGCAACACTTTTGTTTTTGCCTCCATTTTTCTAAGACTTTTTCTATGTACACAAAAGGCCTATTCCTTTCAAATATTGTTCACAAATCTGTCTAAATCTGTGTTAGTGAGCACTTCTCCTTTGCCGAGATAATCCATCCACCTCACAGGTGTGACATATCAAGATGCTGATTAGACAGCGTGATTATTGCACAGGTGTGCCTTAGGCTGGCCACAATGAAAGGCCACTCTAAAATGTGCAGTTTTACTGTATTGGGGGGGAGGGGGTTGTCTGCAGGAGCCGGATAAATCTATAAGATTTTTTGACTGAAATAAATGCTTATGAATATTCTATTCATGTTCCTTTTGTTTTGTGCATTGTAATATGTACATATTTTAAGTAATCTGACTTAAAACATCAATTATGAAATAAAGTGTTCATTAAACCTGCTGGTACTGCACGTATAGGTGACCTGATGCAACCTTTTAGCACAGCATGTGTGGGTGGCTGGTGAATTAACTGAATATGCATATTTATCATATTATCGTAACAGATGTATTGTAAGGGCCATGAGTCCCATAAGAAATGAAGATATAATTTGTCATAGCGATAAATTATGTATTCATTTGCTATTTAAATATTTTAACAAATACACCTCTGGTACTGTCTTGATTGGTGCTTCATGGTTTTACACTAAAATAACCATCAAACCAGATACTGACGTGATCGGACAAACAAGGTATACCATCCCCAATATGCCAACCTGATGGCTTCATCCAATCACATATTTTTCAGAACAGAATGATAACTGTAACTCACTTCTTATAGCAAGTGATAGGAAGAGCAAAACAACTACTGCACGTCTTGTAGCTATTGTGAAAAAGAGCAGGAGAACCACCATTTGGAGAGATCTTCCTTGTCAATCAAATGTAAAGGTCAAATTCCTGGGAATTATTTTTCTGCTGCCAAAGATTTACAACTTATGGAAGAAATCAGATTTAAAAGGAAAAAAAATACTTTAGGAGAAGCTATACATTTGCACTCCAGCAAATGAGTTAAACCGTTCACTACTATGCCTACTTCAGGAGAGATAATAGACATTCATGCCTAGGAACATCTGACTTTCCGGAGTAGTGGAGATGGGGAGAGGAACCCAACCATTCAAAAATGGTTTTACTATTTACAATGCAGGGTTCCAGATCTCTCATGGTATGATGCCTGGAGTGCCCCATTAATTCTCTTTGACTTGAACGTTCTTTTACATTTTTATTTTATTTTTCTTATTTTTTTCCAAACTGTCCTTGAAAAGGTTTTTGGGACTACCCAGAGAAGGAAAATTGCCAGTTTTATTATCACGTAGCAGTCCTTAAACCATTTTAGTCTTATATGCTGTCAGTGATCACCTTAAAAAAAACGTAATTACCATTAGCGCCAACATCTTTATATTTTTCCTGTGCGATCTCTTGTACCTGAATGTCTTGGTATTTTAGAACAGTTGATTTCATTGTCATGCCATAAAACTCCATGTGTGTTTCTATCTGCGAGGAAAAGGATTTCCTACTAGAAAGGTACAGCTGGATTATTGCCTTCACACATTGCTCATGTATGCCTCTTATCGCGTACAGTTTATAAATACTACGTACTTCTTACAACTTCAGTGTATTTGTCATAATGCTAGCGGAGAAACTAAAGCTGGCATTGCTGACAAGGTTATTTCCTTCTGCTGTCGGATATTGCCAGTTCCCAAGTAAAGTATTTATTTCCAATGGCCAAATAATAGAGTCACTGTTATGTTATATTAGCTTTAATTGTTATATGATAATGGCTTGTATTTGTTTGAGCAATGTTTCCCGTAACACTCTACGTAAATGGCATAAACAGTTCCTATATTCAATTATAGAATTGCTTCATTGTCAGCATATATCTAGATAAATGGTCTCAAATTTATTTCAGAATAAAAAAGGAAGATAGTGGTGCAGTGTTCAGCCAGCGACACTTTTTGAAAGGGTCATGGTACTTACTCGATCAACACGCTGCTCTGGCCTTCCTGCACGCGCTTTCTGCATTGACCTGGATGTGCCACCTGATAGGCGCTTGCATTCAGACTTCCTAAACGCGCCAGTTGGGATGTGATAGTGTGAGGGACGCTGCACATTTGAAGCACCGCGCTATTTATACTAATATGCCGCCTAGTGTAATTTCCTGTTATGATAGTGCCACATCATCACTGCAACCCCGTTCCCACATTTTATGGGGTCGTATGGGTGGCGTGGACCAATCAGTGTTCACCTCAGATATTAAATAAAGTTAGTCATTGCCCTGTTATGGCTTCTTCTTGGTTTCTTATACAGTGCGTTTGATTTTGGCCTGTTTACTGACTCCCCTGACCTCTGTAACCCAGACCTGGCTAGTTATACCGTATTTCTGTGTTCCTGATCTTGGATAGTTTTACATTTACGCTAGCTCTCTCTTTTACATTAAACCCAGCCATTCTACGGTTCAGTAATACGTCTTTTCTGTGTTCATATTCCTGATTTATGCTTGAAAGTTGGGTAGTGTAGCTGTGACAGAAAATAATATTAAATGTGCTTTGAAAAACGTGCTGTTATCAAAATACCATGCATGAAACTGAGTTGACCAATGTGTAATAAATAAAAATAAATAAATAAAATACTAATAAAAAACAAAATATAACATACATAGAGCTTTATACCAAAATGGGTCAAAAGGTGCATAAGAAACATTGGTGAGTTATACATAAGTGACTCCATGTGTACTGAACGTAGAAAAAAAACAAACCATTCGACTCCATTAGACAAAACAATCCAATTGTTCCATCATGTTTAACGGAGTAATACAACTATTTCTGCCAACTTATTCTTTTCTCAATAGGTTTAGGCAATAAGAAAATAACACTGAAATATTTAAGAGGTTTAAGTGCTGACAAGACAACAAATCTTTTGACACTATTAATGCTCTTTCCTTCTTCATGTGCCTGTAAAGGTGGTTCTCACCTGACCACACAAAACAAAAATATGAATGGGGAAAACTTGAAAGAATTCAATAATATTTTATTTTCACTATAAATTTATGCTGCGCTCCTACACTCTGACTCTGACGCCCATCTTGACTCGTGTCTCTGACTGCCTCTCCGCGATTTCCAATTGGATGGCTGCTCACTTCCTTAAACTCAACCTGTCCAAAACAGAACTTCAGGTCTTTCCTCCCTCAAGTGTTGCTCCCGTGTCTGTCTCCCTGCAAGTCAACGGTGTCACCATCACCTCTACCTCGTAGGCTCGCTGCCTAGTTGTTCTCTTTGACTCCGACCTCTCCTTCACCCCTCATGTCCAGTCGATCGCCAAATCCTGCCGCTTCCATCTCAAAAACATTGCTCACATCCGCCCCTACTTAACACCAGATGCGGCTATGGTCCTGGTCCATGCCTTTGTTCTTTCTCATCTTGACTACTGCAATCCCCTTCTCAGTGGTCTTACGTGTTCCCAGATTGCACCACTGCAATATATTATGAACACGACGGCAAGGCTCATTTTCCTGTCCGCCTCCACATCCCACGCCTCCCACATCTGTCAGTCCCTACATTGGCTTCCAGTTAGATATAGGGCTCAATTTAAGATTCTGGTGCTTGCTTACAAGTCCCTACATAATGCTGCTCCAACCTATCTATCCTCCCTAATACACAAGTATCTCCCGTTGAGGCCCCTGCACTCTGCCGAAGACCTACGTCTATCCGATGTCTGTACTCCCACATCTGATGCTACCCTCCAAGACTGCACCTTTTCTGTGGAACTCCCTTCCCTTAGACTTTAACCCAGTCTCCACTTTTTTAAACAATCTTTGAAAACACACTTCTTCAGGAAAGCATATAATTAAAACTGTTACTGGATTTTCATACTCATCCCCCCCCCATAACTCCTCTCCTGCAACTGTCAAAAATAACCTACTAAGTTCCCAGTTAATACTTTTCTAACAACCTATTTTATCACCCCCAGCTTATACCCTTTGTGTCATTATACCCCACTCCTTCCAGCATGTAAGCTCATTGAGCTGGGCCCTCAACCCCTCTGTTCCTGTGCATCCAGTTGTCTGGTAACAATTACGTGTCTGTTAGTCCACCCATTGTACTGCGCTACAGAAGTTTGCTGGCACTATATAAATAATAAAATAATAATAATGTATTGGTATTTATAAGTAAGGAGTTGCTAAAACCATAACTAATGTTTGTGAAAAATTATGAAGTATTGTAAATTAAAATAAACAGTGGTTCATATAAGATTTGGAAACCAACAAAATGTCAAACTTATTGCAGCTTTCCATCAAGGAAGGAATATGGTCAGATAAAAATTAAATAAATATATAGAAATATAGATAGACGTAGTGCAGCACCTCTATCTCTTGCTAATTACCACCACCATTTGAGTCCTCACCACCTCAGCTCTTGATCAATTACTTTTTTTGTACCAACCAGGTTATCTGATCTAGGGCTGTGATTTTAGGCCTACTCAAGGAGTGATTGGCCTGCAACACTGATATAGCCCATCAGGTCTCCCTGTGATTTTGGCAACTTTTGTAAGTCTCCATGAAGGGTCCCAGATCCCACAAGTTATGGGCTATAACTAACACGAGAGCAACGTTTATTTGGGAAATGCTCACACACATCTTGAGGTCTACAGTGCTGACTAGACTTGTAAGAAACTTTTGTTGGGCCAATCAGTGTACTACAAAAAATAAGCATAATATAATATTATGCAGATATTTTACAGTACACTGATAGGAGCATTTTCACACAATTTAGTTTACAGATCAAGTGAGAAAAAGTAACCAATAGAGGGAAAAACAGGAAAAGCATTAAAAAAAAAATAAATTATTTTCTTTGTATTGCTCTGTGAAAAAAATCAACATTTAGTGACCATCAATCATCTTTTTTTCCACCAATCATCTTTTTTTTGGCGCCAGTAGCGGAATTAGAAATCATAAATCAAAATGAACATGTTCGGCTATTGCACGGTTTATTTGGTTCGTGATTCGGTTTCTTTTAGGATCTGCATTCAGAAATTCGACTGATCACCCGATCAACCCAAATTGCAGTCCAGATCAAAACAGATCTCCAAGTCCATTGTGTACTATTTCTGAGGCCTACTCCTAGGAATAGTGGTATGGATGCTACTGACCTGCCACAGACGTCTCAAGAGCACGCTGCCCTAGCCCACAGAGTCATCTTCAAATAAAATAGATATTCAAAACCTCTTTGCAGGCATAAAAAAGTTTTTCTCCATAATGGAAAATGTCAGACAGATCTACGCCAAGGAATGGCTGCTATGGTTCTGACTGTCTAACAGTTGTGGTGCACATAAAACTACTTATGCAGTCTTTTGAAGTTATTTTGCTTGTCATCCTCTACATTGGCTTCCTTTAGATAAAATCCTTATACCTTAGTAGATCCTCCACTAATATAATGGGAATTGCCTTGCTCTGCATGTTTTCTTTATCTTATACCTTTTTCTATTCTGAAAGTGTGTCTGCATTTCTCAAGATAAATTTTAAAAAAATGTATATATTTTGTCCTTTGTGATATGGAATGCCAGAATCATCATAGCTAGAATAAAAAAATTGTTCTTCTGAAATTTACATGATCCAAAAGAAAACAAACCTCCAATGAAGCAGATTTGGTTGAGTGACATAGCTAGGCATTTACTATAATGGAAATAGGAAATTAATCTGAAGGGTCATTGACAGATGCCTGGCTTGCAAAAATAACAGCCAGTATGAGTTTTTAATCAATGTTTTTCCATCCAGCTGGTATTCCCTCAAAAGATAGGTTAACAGATAATATAGCAGGTGAAAGAAAAGATTTAAAATGGAAATAAAAATACTACATAAAACTAATTCCAAAAAGGGACTTTTAAAACCTTTGCTCCATGTCCCCATACTGTGAGGCTTTGGGATTGGGAAATAGTCATAAAAGTGTTGAGCAAGGTGATTTGGTCCCTACTTGTTTTGTGTATCACAGAAAAACTGGCAAAGGTGTCTGAGGATATATAATTGTTGTTATCATGGTCACTTTGGAAGGCAGGGTAAGCAGTCCATACGGTGATCCAAGTCCTCAAATTGAGCCTCAGAATTCACAATCTGATGGTTTAAGCCTGGTATCTGAGGATGTGTAGCTGGAGTGTTGCTCTCTTGGGGAGGCAGGGGCCCCAGGTGAATGGCATAGTTCAAGGGTATGTATCTTAGTACAAAGGAGAGGAAGCCAGACTGGTTCCTTGGGGATTTCATTTAAGTGTTAACCTATTCGAAAATGAGTAAACACTTAAAGTTAAGAAGACGTCAGTGGCCTCTGGGCACCAAAACCACGCCATGTCAATACCCAGAGTGTTTTTTTAATAGCAGGAAACTTTAATAAGATTAAGTGGTTTGTGTGCCTAGAGTCTCCTGGCACCATGCTTCCATTCGGTGTTAAACTATTTTTGGATGGTAATGCTAAACTAGAGTCCCTGGCAACACATCCCCTTTGTGCTGCTCTGCCGAATGAGAAAGTATAAGCTTAAGCATCAAGGATTGGCTGAGAACACGTTAATGGTGTGACTTGGTATGGCTTAGAAAAAGTGTAAAAACCTATACCTCCATTAGGGACCATACTGGGGCCCAGTAACTCTCATTCACTGTTACACTGTTCAAAAATGGCTTAACACTGAATGGAAGGCTCAAATAGCTTGCCCTTCAGTGCATCCCTGTTAAGTACATCTTAGCCTGCCGCATTTCAGACTGATGCCATCCACAAGGGCTGTTCAGATCCAATAATGAAAGAAGTCTCCCTCTCCATGAGAGATATAGCAAGTCCCTAAGTTCAAAGATTGATTGTGACAAGAACCCCATGCTCACTGATGAGGCCCAAAGAAGGTTGAAACAATTTCTTATGCGGATAAATGCAACAGGCTAAGGTTTTCTCTGTAATGGCACAAGTGAGCAAAAGCAAATTATGAGACTCAAGCTGGGTGTAACTGAAGGGCAAGCTATTAATTAATTAATGGTTTTTGTCAACATTGGGGGGCTTATTCTCAAAGTCTAATATTTTCGCTTTGCTAATAATCATTTATTGAACATCTGTGCATTTCCCGAGTTACAGCCCCATTCATTCTAAAGGACTCATATAGTGACCTCACCCTTGTCAGAGTCCCTCACGAACGAACATGTACTGAGTTTAATATTAAATATATTGTTAATGTACCCGAGTTACCAGGGAGAAAACTGGTGATGGAGCCAGAGATGTAGTAGTTATTTTACAAGCCAGGGTAGTACTGTAAGATGAAAATGAATGTTGAGCTGGTGAGGTTGTTGCAGAGGTTCTGTTCTCAGAAGCTCTATGGTTACAAAGTGACAGCTGCTGAAGATCTCATGCTACAATTTCTTTCTTTTTAATTTAAGCAGTGAAACTACATCAAGGTGGAGCTTCTGATTTAATATTCATAAATATTGACGATCATGTTATTTGGCATCTTCTTTGGGGGGACACTTATGTGCAGCTTCACAACATTGCCATGGCTTGTTTTATTTCATAAAGAGACAATACCATTCATAGACAATTGTGCACCGCAGGACATACATATCCATGCAGTGCAGTCAGATGGCTTTAGACAATGTTTACAAAACATTGTGAATTGATCATGTAATTATATGTTTAGAATGAAAGTAATATATAACTTATTTACTAGACTTGTCCATTCAATTTTTAAACAACTCACAATCCAATGTGAATTTTAGGCGATCAGCAAGTGTCCGAATTCTGCAACTCCGAAACGCCATATATGGACATATCACAAAACAAACTAAATTGGTAATGGATGAATCATATGTTTCATTTGTTCTGTTCCATTCCAGAAAAAGGGGAATAGAAAGGAGTAGAATCTGACAAGACTCCTGACTAGGGCTCCATTTCTTGTCCGATCAGGAGGATTGATGGTTGGAGGGCAGCCACAAAATGTTTATTGTATTCATAGATCACGTGAGAAGTGACCTAAAGAGGGAAAAGAGTAGGAGGAGTAAAATAGCTATATTTCCAAGCAAGACTCTTTCAGACTTTTTTGCATAGCTATTGACGGAGACAGACCAGCAGCGACTGTGTGTTTTACCATTACTGTGTCTGTGTGGAAGTGGGAGCCTAATATTGTGTAGTCACTAGGCTAGGCAAGATTTTACCCATTTTTGCATTGCTCAACACTAATAAATTAATTTTTAGGACAGTTTCGTTAACATGAATCGGTTTTCCCAAACTATCACATGGCCGAAATTAACCAGAAATTAACGTGTATGAAACTCAATTTGACAGAACCAAAACTTTTACTCAGACACAAATCTATTATTTAATAAAAGGAGAATGATTGTCTTTACTGCTGATTTAAAACATAATTAAGTTTCTAGATCAATAGTACTTTCGAAAATGGCATGTTTTTGTTTGTATAATACATCTTAAATGTGTGGCAACGAAGGTATTGCTGTTAAGAATGGCTGTATGGGTATTTGTTAGGCCCCTTCAGAAATATACTTTTTGATTTATATTATTGTGTTTCAGAGGAACAAACAGTCTTGCAATGCCCCAACAGAAGTAGCAAGAGAATGAGTATACGTAGTTAAACAGTAAAGGGCAGTCGAGAGTACAGCACATTTTATAATAATAATAAACGAGAGCAGACTAAGGCAGACATGTCTAGCATTCAGGTGGGGCTAAGGTTTATCATAAGTATGTCAAGTTAACTAGGCATGTAAAACATGGGTATGTTATAAGCAGGCTAGGTTTATACCGAATAGCTAAAATATTTAATGAGACCACTGGGTAGTAAGAGATATACAGCATATTACTAAACCAAAACAGAACACATAAATGTATTGCATGTAACTGTAATGAATATAGAGCAAACGAGATAGGGAAGCTTAAACACAACCAAACAGGAATGATCCAAGTCCACAAGCAGGCCATAGCATAATGGCAGTCTCCAGGTTCAGGCCATAGTGGAGTGTCCAGAGCCAATCTCACTACCGCCACATCCCCTTCCATTTCAATAATGTACTGTTTGTTGTCTGTTGTAGTTTTTCTGCTAGTCTGCAGTGTCGCACCTCCACGCTACGTTGGCCCTCGGCCTTAATGAGGGCCAGTGCCATGTGTCTATGGATCCCGCTACACCGTGAAACTGGATCTTGGGCCTGTGGGTTTACCGATCATTGGAGAGTCCCATGGGTGTCCTGAAATATTTTTAAACCTTAATCCCTTACCTCTCCAAATGTATTTAGTATTTGTAAAAGGGGCAATATGTGTAGTTATCATGGGAATGTGGACATGAAATTATACAACACATGTAAAAAGTTTGTAAACTTTGTACGCATAGTCTACGAGTAAATCTGTAGACTACTTCCACATACATCTGGTAATCTTGAACCTCCCTATTTTTTATATTTTGATTGATCTAATATTCTAATATATTTATAGAATAAGTGCCATAGACAATATAAACCCATGCTTATCCTCTTCGTAGCAGATGATGTCAGGACTGCCTTCATTGTATATGTCTAACACGTGAAGGTAAGGGGTTAACTATTGATCACTATCCAACCCTGAATTAGACTGAGATTGGAGAGAAAGCCGGTGATACACACTTCATAGGTGATAGCATGCAATTCAGCAATTTACCATTTTATTGTTTTAACAGCACAAGGTCCAATATGCAGAAAGAACCGCTAGCCATAACAGCCTTTTTGCATAGAAGTATTTAGTGGTTCATTCTTATTATTTGCAGCTACTGACTTTCTTCTAGGACCAAACACATGCCATAGAGTCATAAGAAACTGAGTTTGCATAGCCCCTGGTCCTTAGATGGCCAAAAAAAAATGAACAGGCAACCATAAATTCTGACTGCAAGCATTAACACTGTCTGAAAGCCAAAAGTCCATCTCAACATGTCCACATCGTTGAGTTTCCACAGAAGACATTGTGTATTTGCTAAGGTAATTTTACCTCTTGATAAACAGTACTGTTTATCCATTGTTTAAATACTGCTCACATCCTTAGTGACTTTATAAGGAACACATGCTTACACTTGAAGCCACTGCAGATGATATGTTCCAGCAGCAAAGTTCCAAGAGTTCTAGCGGTTATAGAATACAATTCACACGTTAGATGTGTAGAGAAAATAACTTTAGTACCAGTTCATTTTTATCTAGTATAAATAAATAAGAGAATGATAATAAACCGTTTAGAAAATCATATACAAAGCTAAAACAAAAACATTTCTATTTTATAGGTTTCTCTCCACTGGCCGTATTTGCTATTTTCGCTAAGTTTTGCAATTTGAAGAAACACTTCAACTACCATCACCACTGCAGCATGTAGAGTCTCCTGGCCACCCCCCTTGTAAGTAGTCAAACCATTTAAAATGCCTGAATTCTTACATGGGTTCTGCCAGGCACTGCGACCCCCCTTCCACTACCTCAGCTAAGCACATCAAGAGCTTCCGGCTCTCTGGCTGAGGTAGTAGAGGCGGAGGGCAGCACCCCGCACACATTAGGCTTTGACCTAAAACAGTTTGACTACTTACTTTCGGGACTGAAGCCCCGGATACAGGACTCTTTAGCAACTAATCTTTACAGTTGGTGGACGGGGGCAGGAGGATAATGTTTTTTTAAAATATATATTATTTTTAATTAAACATCATGGCTAGAGAGGCCCGGGACATGACATATCTCCATTATAAAAGTGCTCATTGAGTATTCCTTTGGGCTCAAGCCCCAGGTATTTCTGGAACCTAGCAACGCCCGTGACCTAACATTTACCCTAACATTTGCTTTTACATACAGTATGTTACAACAACATTACATATGACATAGAATTGCTGCATAGCATCACTGTATAAATGCCTAGTGTCACTTAACTCTCAAGTGAAAACACTGATTGAAAAAAAAAAGAAAAAAAAAAAACCTTAAAAGATTCCGAAGACATTTATGTGCATTCCAGACCAACACTGCCCTCTACAGGGCATTCTATGTAGATCAAACACTTGAAATGTATTTGTAAAAGTTATCAGTTCAATCTTGCTAATTATAATCAAGTCCAGCTATATAAGTGTAATTAAATTAGAACCAATGAATATGCTAATCCATAATTAGAAATTATCGCTGTAAGTGGTATTTTTTTTTTTTGAAATCTCTAAAATCAGCACACAGCATAACCATTAGTAACTAATTAAAATCTATGTACATCAATCATGAGATACAATTTAAATCTAGGTGGGGATTGGTTAAATTAAGCAAATTCCACCAATTGCTTGCTCAGTCTCTCATTTTCAGCATGATTTTACAGTAATCCCCTATTCCTTCATTGAGCCTTAAAAGTGAATAATATGTAGCTAAGAATTAATATATTTAATAGAAGCATCATGATGCATTTTATTGTTCTATATGGTAATAAACAGGAAAATATTTTTTAATGCAATCCATTGTTATTTATTGATAATGATATTAATATTGATATTCTAATAGATTTTCAGCTTGGACATACACTTACATAAAGTCAAGTGACAATATGACCTAACTCGGAGTGCGTAATCACGGCATCCTGGGCAAGTCTTGGATTTCAGAAAGTTCAGTGCAAAACAAATTTAAAATATTCCCAAGTCAATCAATGAGCAACTTGGAGTCAGTGGCATTCACATGAGCTGCATGCGTGTGACAAGTCCTTAACATCAATGAGTACGTTCTGTTAACTTCTTTTAGCCATCACTTCCAAACTCCCCCTGCTACCTCTTGTCTCAAATCCCCATTATATCCTCTAGATTGTAAGCTCACAGGCTATCTAGCTTTCCATAAAAGAGCTTCAATGGCTAGATCTCAGCTTACAGGCAGGGCCCTCTCTACCTGTTGAATTTGTCTATGTATATTGTACGTTCTAACGGAATTGTACAGCGCTGCAGAAAATATCAGTAATAAATAAATACTCAACCGGGAAGCTTGGAGATGCTTGATAACTAGTAATTGCACAGGACTCCAATTCCCAACTACAACTATGTTATGATCCAGTGTCAGATATAAGTTACCACATTCAATGAGAAAACACACGTTTGGAACAAGATGTCTTGTTTATTTTTTGGAACGCTGTTTGTTACACAAAATACAGTAGAATAGGCACATTAATATATTTTTAAATAAAACAAAACAACGGTTTGTTTTTTGTGTTTAAAAAAAAAAAAAAAAAAAATTGTACTTGGAATTTTATTATCTATTAGCTACCATATTGAATTATAATAAATGCATGTTTTGATAATAGCTTTACTCACCGACGGTTTTGAAAGCTGTTGGCGGCAGACGCTGCGTTCTGATCAGGATAATTGTGTTGCAGACTGGATGCTGGGAATTGGTACATGAATCCAGTCCCATAGGAAAATCCAAAAAAATTGAAGGACCATAACAGGACAAGGGGATTTTTCATTTTCTTTAAGAAATTAATGGATACAGGATTTGGTTGCAGAAATCAAAAGCCTTTGTGATTTACAAATCCAGAAGATATAAGAGTCCAAATGTCTTGCACAGCTCAACTAAGCACACAGAACCACACAGCTGAAGACATTCTGTGCTCTAAAGCCTTTTAAATTTTGTGAGGTTTGTTCCAGTCATTGAAAAGGGGGCTGTGACAAGTTAGGAAGCATACACATTACCAGCACCACCTGGTGGAAACTTTACTAAATTCATTGTTCACTATGAAGACCGAAATATTAAAGACCACTGAATGAAGCAAAACAGGCAGACTGGTAGTATTGGATGGATAGATAGAAGGATACATAAAGAGATTTGCAAACAGACATATGCATGGATAAACAAAGACAGAAGTAGATGTGCAAGCGTATGTTTATACAGATAGACAGTTTTAAGCATGCGTGAGGTTCATGTGAGTCCCCTGTACTGATTTCAGACAAAATGATTCAGTGGTAGAATTTACAGAACTTTGCTGTACGACTGGTATCAACAGCCTTTACTCAGACAGTCAGAGTTGACATTATTATTATTATTATTATTATGTTATTATTATTATTATTATTTATATAGCGCCATCAAATTCCGCAGCGCTTTACAATGGGTGGACGAATGGACATGTAGTTGTAACCAGACAAGTTGGACACACAGGAACAGAGGGGTTGAGGGCCCTGCTCAATGAGCTTACATGCTAGAGGGAGTGGGGTAAGGTGACACAAAAGGTAAGTATAGTATTAGACTAATGACAGTTGCAAGAGAGGAATCAGTCGGGAGCTATTAACAGTTTAATTGATTCGCCTTAATGAAGAAGTGGGTTTTTGAGTGGAGACTGGGTGAGCATCTATCGGAGGAAGGAAGCGAGTTCCCACAGAGCCGAAGAGCTATTATTGTAAAGCAGGGTACAACCTGCTTTAATATTGAGTATGCTCTGAATTAGGATGTAATAATTTGCTTCTATCACACACAAAAGATTTTTTTTTTTTAAATTGCTAATAGCACTTTGAAAAATAAGGCTTTTTAAAACTTGGCAGTTCGAGCTTAAACCTTTAGAATGAGAACTCGGAGAACAAATCCCCTTCGGTAAATCCCCGCTCAGGTCTCAAAACAGTTTTTGCTCACTTGTCCCATTACACAGAGAACATATTAGACTGGTCCCACCCATACGGGCAGCCAAATCCGAAATGTCAGCAAGTTCCCTTTGCACGAGAGATACAGCAAACCCAGACAATCGTTTCAATCGTTTAATGGAGATGTGTCATCAGTGAGGTATAGCCAATATCCCTCTAGGCACCGTGAGCAAGGGGTTCACGTCTGGATTGCCCTTTAAACTTAAGGAGAGAAAAAGAAGTAGCAAGAGGTGAGAACGGACAACAGCTCAACTAGCCTGCCCTTCGGTGGGTCCCTGCTCAGATCTCGAGCTGGTTTTAGCTCATCTTGTGCCAATACAGAGAACATAACTGAAGCATATCAGACTGGTCCTACCCGTACGGGTTTTCAGTATACCACAATGTACTGTATAGTAAATAAATGTAATAAATATTTCTTCTATTGTCTATCTGTAATATGATAGTGATTGCTTACTGTAGAAAAAGATATGTGAAAGGCTGAGCTTGATGGGGGTGGATTTTTCTTCAACTTACTTTACTATGTTACGTTGCTGACAACATGACATGCGGCAACATTGGAGCTAAATATGAGTTCAAGTAAAAGCAGTGGATATGAAATGTGCCACCTACTTTGTGTGCATGTAGAGTGCAAAAAGTATTGTGCAAGATCTGTAAACCATCACACCCTAATAAATTAATGGGGGCTAATTTCTTCCCCTTGTTAAGGGAGACTAATCACTTATTGGCTTTATATACCTATTAAGGATGATTACTCTAGAACAGACATGCACAACCTGGCAGTAGTAAGGGGACAAAATTAAAATAGGCTAAACTTCTTCAGACTGCAGTTCGTTTTTTTGCGCCTCACTTTACAAGTAAAGGTATAGTTAATGATTAAACTTTTTTGCAAATAAACCATATTATAAAAATTACTTTGCTAAGCGGTACAAGTTTGAATAAATTTTTCAGGTTTTTCTTACTGTTAATGGGACGTATTACACTTCTTGTCAACAATCAGTTGACCGGACTCAGGAATCATGTTTGAAACCAATGTTTTCAAAATATCTGCCCCACTGTCTCTTTGTTTCCCCCCAGCTCATGTCTGTCTCTTTTTCCCTTCCCCAGCCCATGTCTATGTCTTTTGCCCCTTTACCAGTCCCTGTCTATCTATTTTTGCCCCTTCACCTGTCCCTCTGTGTCTCCCCCCAGCCTTTCTGTGCATTTCTTTCTCCTCCAAACCCTTTTGTATTTCTATTCATTTCCTTCACAACCGATGTGTGTATCTCTTCCCCCAGTCCCTCTCCGTCTCTTTGTCTCCCCCTCCTCCTAAAGCCTTCTGGGTGTCTCTCCTCAACCCTGTATGTCTCTTTTTCCCCCAAGCTCTTTAGTGTGTCTCTTTCTCAAATTTCCAGTCCCTGTCTGTCTCTTTTCCCTTTCCCTAGTCCATGGCTGTCTCTTTTGCCCCTCCCTAATCCCTCTGTGTCACTCTGTGCACCCCTCAAACTCCTGTCGGTCTCTTTTGCCCCCTTCCCATCCCCTCTGTGTCTCTGTGTGCCGTTCCCCAAGCCCCATCTGTCTTTTTTGGCCCTTCCCCAATCCCACTGCGCTCTCTCTGTGTCCACCCAAGCTCATGTCTGTCTTTTTTGCCCCTTTCCCAACCCCTCTGAGTCCCATCCAGCCCCTGTCTATTCCTTTTGCCCCTTCTTTAACCCCTCCGTATCTCTTTGTGCCCCTCCTTAGCCCCTGTCTGTCTCTTTTGCCCCACTTGTGGGTTCTCACCCCCTGTGCCAGCTCACCTCCCTCAGGTGTAGCATGACAGAGCCATGAACTTGGGTAGAGTAGCTTCTGTAACCTCTCCCTGGTCAGACAGGAAGCAGTTCGGCGTTCCCTGTAAGCACTTCCTGTCAGACTGGGGAGAGTTTACAGAAGCTCCTCTACCACAGTCTGCGTGGCCACGCTACATGCTGTGACTGGCTGGAGGAGAGTGCTGTGGAGTGCGCTCCGCTCCTGCTGGTCAAACAGATCCTTCATCCCCTAGGCCGGGGCAACCAAATGCAGCCTTATGGTAGTGCCAGTCCTGTCCTCACTGACCACCTGAAATGCTTTGGTGGGCAGCAAGCGGCACATGGAGGTGTATGTTGTGCAGGTCTGCTCTAGATGTACCTATTCCATGTTTAAAGTTGGTAAATATTTTATTAAATATTTTTGGTTGTGGAAAAAAACAAGGATAGGTATAAATCTTCTATATTTAAATAAGAAATAGGGAGGAATACGGTTCCCAAATCTTTTGTATATTTTATATCAGCAGCTCTTCTGATACATGTGTTAAACATGCATTCAGAAAATTATAAATCACAGGGTTGGTGCAAAATGGAAGAATATAGTATAAGGGTGTGCCATTTCTGCCCTTCAAATATTTGATGAGAATAATTGAGACTTTGGATTTAAGAACATGGTTGTGCACTGGTATTACAAAAATTTCAACCCTATTGAATGAGCCTGGATTTGAAACTTCTCAAAATTTACAAGAATTGAATCTATCTAGGGAGAAGATTTTTTTTGTATAAGAATTATGTTTTTTTTTTGTCCACCTCATTGTGCTGGGTAAATCAGTCTGCCCCAATTAAAAAATTAAACTCCATTCTCAATGAAGAGAAGGACTTAAACGTATTGTCTAGTTGTGTAGCTGTAATTCGATCTATAAGGAGCCTGGTTATTCCCAGTACAAAAATGTTTTAGGGAAGAGATCTACATATAGTGATTGATATCAAAGGTATGAATGCTTTGCAAACAGTCTATTCTATGGTCCACTATTTAAATATAAAGTCTCACCTTTAAAATTGTCAAAAATGTTCTCTCGAGACTCATTTATGCTGGAGATGTGTGTCAATTAATGAAGATGAAAAGCAAATTTGTTGGGATTGTCTCCGTTAAATCAAGTTGGAAAATATTATTTTTAAACAAAGTGCTCGGTCCCTGATTCATGCCTTAAAGGAACACTATAGGGTCAGCAACACAAACATGTATTCCTGACCCTGTCGTGTTAAAACCACAATCTAGCCCCCTGGCTCCCCTTGCCTTCCTAAATATAGTAAAATCTTACATGTATTCAAGTTTGCAGCTGCTGCCTCTGCCCCAGATCTGCCAGCTTTTCTATCATCAGAAGTGATTCTCTGAACCAATCACAATGCTTTCCCATAGGATTGGCTGAGACTGCCAAAGAGACAGATCAGGGGCAGAGCCAGCACAAGTCAAACATAGCCTGGGTCAATCAGCATCTCCTCATAGAGATTAATTCAATCAATGAATCTCTGTGAGTAAAGTTCAGTATCTCCATGCAGAGGGTGGAGACACTGACATTGCCCCAGTAAGAACCTCTAGTAGTCATCTGAGGAGTGGCCACTGGAGGTATCACTACTAGGCTACAATGTAAACACTAAATTTTCTCAGAAGAGGCAAAAAGCCTGAAGGGACTCATTCTACTCATCAGAACAAAAACAATACACGGTAGTTGTTCTGGTGATTATAGTGTCCCTTTAATGGCTTTTAAAACGTAAATTGCCAAGAAATGAAATCCATCTTTGTTTGAAACTTGGCCACAAATAAAGCATGCTATTAAGTCTCAATATATGATGGAAAGAGTAATTGCTTCAGTATTTTGTGTTAATCAGAAAAGATATAAGATTTTGTATAATATAGTATTATATGCTCTATTTTGGTTCTCACCTTTTGCTATACCCTGCTGTTTTTACATTTTTTATTTCTTAGATTTCCTGGTGGAGCGCTGAGTATTGTTACTCCTCCTGACACTGACATCTGATACATGTCTCTTTTGTATGTTGTTATTGTGTATTGTTGTGACCTTCATATAAATAAGATGTATTTATCTTTGGCATTTTTGTATGTGAAATGTAAGAAACAAATAAAGAAGAAAATATTAATAATAATTAAAAAAAGATCTGTAAACCAAGTACATTTCAGATGGTTAGAACTGCAACTGCCATAATTCTCAGTGAGACTTTCGGAACCAAAAGTCTTGTAAATATGTTAAACTTGTGAATTTGGTTTTAAATGCAATTTGTCCAAATTTTTGGGTAATTGATGATTTACAGCTCCTAAATTCACATGGACACATCACAAAACAACACAAAACTGGCAATGGAAGAGCCATTTAGTTCATGATTCAGAGTTTTGTCAGTGGCAACAGGAAATAGGGAGAAGCTACATGACATGCGCATCATCGTCCTTTTGGCCTATTCCTGTTATAACCAATTAGAGACCTTCAAGAATTACAGACACATGAATTTTGGCAAAATATTCCACGGCTTTATTAAATATATAAATAATAAAATATAAATTTAAAAGGTCATTGTCAACAACGATTAGGAAGACATCCCCCCAATTAACATAACTTTACACCAAGACAATGACCTAAACCATTTTACAGAATACATCCATATAACCATATAACATAGTATAAATAACATAAACATTAACATAGCCACCCAGGGCATCCATTTCCAATTGTAGGGGCTGTGACGGAACGCTGGCACTCCGACTGAGTACCTCCGCCAATCGATGCTCCTAGTGCTCGCTGAGGACTCCAAGCACTCCAACCGACACCATCAGCACTGCAGACCCCACTTCCAGCGATGCAACTGCGCCGGGGTCTCTGCTGTTTCCACCCACCCTGGACCCAAGGCCAGGATCCAGCTTCCAGTGGGTGAACCTCTCTTTCCCCAGAGAGCAGGAACAAATCAAGCTATTGCAAGAGCTTCCTCTGGGGAGTAAGTGATTATAGCAATCCCCAGAGTGTAGGTATCCCTTCCCCCAAACATGAGCCAAGGCTTAATGCTGGAACAAGACTGATTTACTGGCACACAGAACTCACAATTTATGCAACACAAAACTCCTCCTCTGGGCCAGGCTAGATAATTGAGTTTCTACAATACACAAAGCTCAATTATCTGCTGGCCAGAAACATTACAATTTTTACAGCATTCATAACTTCTAAAATATACATCACAGGGACCCCAAAACATGCAATAACCCCATAAAAAGTATATCCTTGGAACCGGGGATCTGGGTGAACCACATATCCAAAATTCACCCAGATCCGTTCAGTACTTTGGAAAATACAGTTTAATGCAGATTCTGCAGAACATATACAGGCTAAATGAAAAACAATTACTGTATAATGTGTCCCCTGCTGTATAGTCCAAAACCACTGCACAATGTCTCTGTGCACCAAATACTGGCGAGATGGCACCGTGTTGAAAAGTCCAAACAGTGTCTGTGAGTTAAAATGGCCGCCATCCATTGTTCTCACCATGTGCTTCTGATACAGGAAATGGTGGCCACCCAGTAACTCCACAGTATGTCAGTACCTAGATTAGTCGGGCAGCCCACCCACAAAGAAAAATACGCAGAGTAACCCCCCCACAATAAATGGTACTGGCCTGTAGGTTCAAGTTTGTAGTGGGACAGCGCAGCACTCTCGGTCGCCCTGGTGCAGCTAGGCAAACTGCTGGTGTTGCTTGGGGGGCAGAGGCCAGCGGTGCTCTGCCCTGCTGCCAGCTCTTCCACTGGGGTAACCCGTGGTAAGTCAGGCTCTGATACCGGGGAAAAGGGGGGGCAGAGGCTAACAGAGCTGTGCCCAGATGCCAGCTCTTCTGCTGGGAGGGGGTCAGTGGGTATCGCAGGCTCATCCACTGCCCCCTGGACCCAGTTGGGATGTAGCTGGGGAGGGGAAGTTTCGCTTACCTCCTCCTCCTGGCATCCCTGCGGGGTTGGTTGGGGATCTGGACCGCCCGTCCAGCCTCCCTGTAGGACTGGCACAGAGACCGCGGTCCCATCTGCGCCAGTGTGGTTAGGTTTGTCTTCCCCCTCTCCCGGTATCTCTGGCTGCTGTTGGAGGGGGAGGCTGGTTGCCCCCACACCCCAGGACGCTGGTTGCTGTAAGGTGGAGGGATCGACCATCACCTCCTCCTGGAACTCAGGCCGCCGCTGGGGAGAGAGACCAGTTGTCTCCTCTCCCTGTATATTATACTGCCGCTGGGGACCTGGGCTGACTGCCCAGCATCCCTGTAGGGCTGGCAGAGAGACTTCGGTCCCATCTCCGCTTGCCATCTCTCTGTGTCCCCAGGACAAGTCTATGAGGTCGCCCACCTCCGGCTGCTGTTGGAGAGGGAGGCCGGTTGCCTCCCCTCCCCAGTACGCTGGTTGCTGTACGGGGGAGGGATCTACCATCACCTCCTCCTGGAACTCAGGCCGCCGCTGGGGAGAGAGACCGGTTGTCTCTTCCCTCTGTATGGTGCACTGCCGCTGGGAAGGGAGGTCACTGCTCTCCTCTCCCTGTAACTCACTCTGTCGCTGGAGACGGGGTGTCAATACCCCCAAACTCCACAGTTGGTACTCGTAGTTCCGTGCGTCTTGGTTCTCAGCACTCAACAGGCGCATCACTTGATGGACCACCTCATCTGAAGGGTTTGGGCCAAACCAGACCAGCCGCGCCTTTACTTCCTTCATGAAATCAGCACCCTCATAGCACTGTGACAGGCGGATTTGCAATTCACTGGCTGCTGTTCAGGGTCTTGCTAGCTCCATGTTGCTGTAGGTAGGGACGCTGCGCAGAGGCTAGCGTTGCCCTCAATTATAAATCCGTAACTCCACACGTTACCGGTGTCTCTGAACTGCTGGTCCTCGCACTAGGACGCCATCCCGCCGCTGCCACCAAATGTGACGGAACGCTGGCACTCCGACTGAGTACCTCCGCCAATCGATGCTCCTAGTCCTCGCTGAGGACTCCAAGCACTCCAACCGACACCATCAGCACTGCAGACCCTACTTCCAGCGATGCAACTGCGCCGGGGTCTCTGCTGTTTCCACCCACCCTGGACCCAAGGCCAGGATCCAGCTTCCAGTGGGTGAACCTCTCTTTCCCCAGAGAGCAGGAACAGGAACAAATCAAGCTATTGCAAGAGCTTCCTCTGGGGAGTAAGTGATTATAGCAATCCCCAGAGTGTAGGTATCCCTTCCCCCAAACATGAGCCAAGGCTTAATGCTGGAACAAGACTGATTTACTGGCACACAGAACTCACAATTTATGCAACACAAAACTCCTCCTCTGGGCCAGGCTAGATAATTGAGTTTCTACAATACACAAAGCTCAATTATCTGCTGGCCAGAAACATTACAATTTTTACAGCATTCATAACTTCTAAAATATACATCACAGGGACCCCAAAACATGCAATAACCCCATAACTGTATAGTCCAAATAACCCCTGCTGTATAGTCCAAAACCACTGCACGATGTCTCTGTGCACCAAATACTGGCGAGATGGCACCGTGTTGAAAAGTCCAAACAGTGTCTGTGAGTTAAAATGGCCGCCATCCATTGTTCTCACCATGTGCTTCTGATACAGGAAATGGTGGCCACCCAGTAAATCCACAGTATGTCCCCAGATGGTTCTTAAAGGGCCAGCAGCAGCACAACACAAATCCATTATGCCCAAATCATGTCTTTAAAGGGCAATACATCCCAGGGGCCATAGTCACAGGGCAAGAGGCGGGCAAGCAGTCCTCTCCAGGCACAAGTGGCGAAGGGCACTTCGTCACAGGGGCACACCAAGACACCCCTACGCCATTATCACAGCCACCAAGGGCATCCCTTTCCACTGTAGGGGCATACCAAGACACCCCTACACCATTATCCCAGCCACCAAGGGCATCCATTTCCAGTGTAGGGGCATACAGAGACACCCCTACACCCCCAGGTTCGGAGCTACCGACGAGCTCGAACCTACCACCAAATCCAAAGGTAAGTATTCCTCCTGACCTATCCCACTTACCAAAAACCGGCCTACCCCCCAATTAACCTAATCCATCCCCCGCCACAGCACAGAGCTTGACCACCTCAAGCCACCTGGGCGCCCCCACTCCGAATAAACAAAGCCTGTCTCAAGCCGTCCTGGAAGCCCAAGTTGAGAAAATCTAGACCTACTCCGGAAAGATGCACGCCATCACGCCTGAAATATCCCGGCAACATATCCTCCAGCTCCCTATGTCTGATTTCTACCCCACCAGACCTTTTGATAAAAATCGCCACCAACTTATTAAACTTGCGTCTACATCTCGCCATAGCTGAAAAATCCCGCGCATGACGCCAATGGAAACGCGGTATAGTTTCCGACCATACAATAACCACCCCGGGAAGTAAGGACCTCAACTTATCCACGTCCCTCTTTATACAACGTACTAATTCCCTTTGTGGTACCAGACCAAAATCATTCCCCCCAGCGTGTAACAATATGAATTCGGGAACCTCCCCCTGACCAATCTTCCGAAATAATTCTAAACATATGTCTCTCCAACCAAAACCCCGGAAACCAAACCATAACAATCGTAAAACATCCGTCGGAAAGCCCAGCTGCGTGCCTTGTCTCCGAACTGCAGCTCTCCGTTCCGCCCAGTAGACATAGGAATGGCCTACTATCCATGCGACTCCACCTGAAAATGAAAGAAATAACTTATAACCACCGGGCCGTCGTATCGTGTACCCCATAACATCAAACCTGAATTACACTAACCGATCCGGCCAGACATAAGAGCGGAACCTGAGCGATTCCCATCTCCCAATCTTTTTAACTAAATCGTCACCTAGACCCAACCTCGCTGCCTCCGTGGCAGCCCCAATCCTAAACGAGTGGGTGCCAAACTGCGTGGGATCCAGACCCAGGCGTTCCAAACTCAGCTTAAAGACCCTGGTAAACTGAAACTTAGACATCGCCGAACCGTCCGCATGCCGAAAAAACGAACCCTGACCCTTTGGACGGATCTCCATATATCGGCGAGCACTGCTCACCGGGCAAGCCGCAACCTGAGGTAGTGAAAATAATTTAACTGTACAACCTTTCCCAAAGACATCTGTCTTCGAGCGCCGTAATCGAATGGCTACCTGCTCTACCCCCAATTCCACGTCCGCGAACTGAAGACCACCTTGCCTAACTCTGCTGCCACTTACAGTTTCACTCACCCGAAAAGCCCCGAAAAAGGCCCATACAAAAGCAACCGTAAATAACAAAACCTCGAACGAGGAGAAACATAAACCTGGCAGGACTCCCAACAGTTGTTGAAGCAAGGCAAAAGACACCGGTCTCCTAGTGTCAGGTTCCAACTTACCCTTACGATAACCCTTCACTGCCTGCCTTACTACAAAGGACTTCGTCGAATCCTCCCACCCATTGAGCTTGAAGAGGAACGCCAACGCTGCAAGGTTCAGCCGACCACCGCCGGAGAAGCCCCTGCCGTGAATAAGCGGCAAAGCAACCATAATAGCGTATCGAGACGTACCTCTGCGGAAACCTGATCCCCCGTACAGCCCAAAGCTTCGTCCCAACTTTTCCATACTTTACTATACGCCGCCCACGTGCCCGGAGCCAACGAATCCCTGATCAGTCCTCCAAGCAAGAGGTCCCGAGCCGCCACATGTGATCCAGACATGACAGACCCTCCATTTGTGCGTTCGGAGCCTCCAACCGAAATTTTTCCCACTGAAAGCGAGAAAGCGAATCAGCAATTACGTTCAAGAATCCCGGTACATGACGTGCACGAAAAACAATATTCCACTGCATGCAATACAAAACAAACCTACGAAGGAGTCAAATCACTGGGACCGATGAATCCGAAAGATTATTCACAGCCTCCACTACGGCCATATTGTCCGTAAAGAAGATCACTCTCCTATCGCGAAAGACTTGGCCCCACAATGAGAGCGCTACTACCAATGGGAATAACTCGAGAAAGGCCAAGTTCCGAATAAGTGGGCTGGCTGCCCAATGTTCGGGCCACTTCTCCGCACACCAATGACCAGCAAAGTAAGCCCCAAAACCCACGCTTCCTGACACGTCGGTAAAAAGTTCCAACTCGGGTGATTCAATACTTTTATCCCTAAAGAATACCTTCAGGAAGGTCTCCCATACCCCCAAATCCTCCCTCATCGGGGCTGTGACCCTGATAAAGTGATGAGGGGACCGTACTCCCGCAGTGGCCTTAGCTAGGAACCGGTTGAATACCCTTTCCACCGGAATAATGCGACATGCAAAATTCAACCGCCCCAACAAGGACTGCAATGATGCATACGAAACAGAACAAAGAGCCCCGTCAATGTCATCATTGACTGATGACCCTTTCGGGTACGACAAGTGGTGGATAAGGCGAAATTTCCCCTTCTCCTTCTTGGGCACCACACCTAAAGGAGAAACCCTAAGATCTGGCAGAGGCGGCTCCCCATACGGCCCCGCCATCCGCCCCAGGCGAACCTCATGAAGCAATTTCTCCCATACTACGTCATGGTGTTCGCCCACAGAGCGCAGGTTACGGAAACGAGGAACCACCACCCGTTTCCGGAATGGTATGATAAAACCCTGCATGAACCCTTCTAGCAATAATCGGGCATCCTCCCGATTACCGTACCTGCTTAGCCATGGGAGCATCGCGTCTACCTTAACTGGCGAGGACCCCAGAGGAAGCGGATGGTGCTGACGCACCGCCGGCGTTTCCTGTTGCCGCGGGCTTACCCCGCTTAAAACACCGGTTGTAACCATGCCCCCCACCGCATCCGGAGCATTCATGCCTAAAACGGCATGCGGAGCCCCACTTACATTGGCCTTCATTAAAGAGCCAGCAGAATCCCTTCCTTTGAGCAGCCGACGAGGTGGAAGAGGGACCGGCGCCGCCCCCCCCCCCTGAAAGGGAGCTGCCTTCTGCGCCATCATCAGCTTCATCCATAATGGCAGGTCCATCTGATCCCACCGCATTCCCGGATTAGCCGATAACCTCTGACGGAACTGTTCATCATACCGCCACCAGGCCAATCCCCCATAAGTGCGATATGACTCCCACACACCGTCCAGATAACAGAATAGCTGAGAGCATTTCTCAGGCGCCTTCTCACCCAGGACACTCGCCAATCTGCAAAAGGCTCGCAGCCAATTCCCGAAAGTTTTAGGGATTTTTCTATACCGTCGCCGTTTTTCTTCCTCTTCCTTCTTGGAATCTTTTTTATCCTCCTCCTTCAAGTCTAAGTATTCCTCTAGTGGGAGAAGGGAGAAGATCTCCACAAATTCCCCTTTCCACAGTTTTTCTTTAACCTCCAATTTGAGATGACACCCTAGCGGACCCGCAAACGACACATGCACATTCTGCCGTGCTGCATCCGGGATATCACCCAATAGCAGGTCCCTCTCAGCTACTACTTCTGTGGCTACCGATGCCGATGACGCTGCCATAACCTCCCCTGTACTGCTCCCTGCCTGTCCTGTTATTAATTTCTCCCCCGTCCCCAGACCCGACGGCCCTGGCAACCAAACCTTGCTGAAGGAAGCCCCTCTATCTGAACCTGAACTCCACGATGTAAGAAACGATTTTAAGCCCTCTAACAAGTCTCCAGAGTGTGGTGTACTGTGGGACTCACCAGCCAAACCCCGTGGTGCCGCCGATCCTGGGGCTGCTACCCGAACTCCGCCGTGTGAGGGTCCTGGCGAAGCTGTTTGGAAATCCCCGCCGTCCTGAGGCCTCCTTCGGCCCGCCGACCCGACATCCAATGACCTGTGAACAGAAGAAGCAAACCTGGGGAGGCCGTCATCATAACACCGCTCCCCCCTGACCTCACCCGGTGATTCTCTATGCGGCCTGTGACTCCCGGCATCCTGACCCTTGCGGCCGTAACTATCACCTGAAAAACTTCTGCACCTCCTGTCGGGGGAGCCCCCGCTGACTGACCTGGAGGCACTCCCCTGTGAGGATGATCCCCTAACGGGTGAGTCACAGCATCGCCCAGCCACAGACTCCCCACTGCTACTGCGCTGCCTGCTCCGCCGATTACTCCTGGAGCGATGGCTAGAAGCCCTCCTGTCCCCCCTACTGGCTCTACACCCCCTTGGGGGCCTGGCTTCCCTATCCTGAGTGCGGCTGTCCCTGCCCACCCGCTGGTCTGTTGTCCTACAGCACCCAGTACCCGTGCCAATCTGGGAAGGGGCCATGCTGCTCCCTGCTGTGATCCCGCCACCTGTCACCAGCGCCCTGTGCACCTCACGCTGTCCTGTCACCTGTGGCTGCTGCGCTATTGAAGGGGGTGCCTGCGGCCTAGCCCACCCATGCCGTACCTTGCTGAGTGCTCGGGACGCCTCACCACCTACCCTGGAATCACTTACAGGTGCTATGACTTCCCTGTTGCCCAAGCCCTTACTGGCTGCCCCATCCTCAGCGGAACCTGACTGGGTCGAGGGGGCCTCGCTCACCAACCCCTGCTTTCTTCCCCTTTTTGCCTTAACAGCCCCAGGGGGTGACTCACCGGGTGTGCTCCGCCCAGATGGCTGATCCCTGCTCCTAGCAGCGCCCGCTGCAGTTGAGGGGCCTACTGCAGCCGGTGAACTGGAACTCCTGCCGGCCACCGGGCGGCGCGGCACCATGCTGTCCAGACCGCACACCTCAGCCTCTGGCTGACGTCCGTGGTGGGTGGCCGCCCCCGAGCCGCGACCTCCGCGGGTCCGAGCCCGGCTACTACCGCTCGACGAGCTGGCCCCTGGCCTGCCTGCTGACGGGCTTCGACCCCGCCCCACACCAGCACCGGACTCTGGGCTCAGCCGTTGCGGCGGCCTAGTCCGCCGGGATGTCCTGCGCGCCGGCGCCACAGACGGTCCCGCCATATTCAGTGCTGCTCCCAGCCGCTGCTCCATCCATGCCACTCCATGCTGACGAACCGCTGCCCTGACACCTTCCAAGATCGCTGTCATATCCCTCTCAGCTGCCAAGGAATCCATCTGAAAGAAATAAGAAGAAAAAAAACCCCACCAGGAAGACAGCAACAGCTACCAACAGGTAAGGGATTTAAAATTAAAATGGACACTGAATTAAAATGGCCGATTTTTATATGGGAAACTTAGGCCACTCCCCTAACTGACCTCCACCAATCAAACCACACCTCATTCATAGGCCTGCCTCCTAGCTCTGTCAAGGCCATTTCCACCTAGCTTGCTGTTCCATGGGCTTCATTTTGGGGGAATAGAGGTGACATATAAGCAGGGCCGGACTGGGGATACAAAGCAGCCCTGGAAAAAAAATCTATGCCAGCCCCATATATTGCCGTATGTAATATGTAAGGCAATGATTTGCCACCCCAGATGGTTGAGTAATATATATATATATATATATATATATATATATATATATATATATCTTTTTCTAATATATAATATTGGTCCTTTCAGAGTAAAACATTTAATTATACATTAAGCATACCCACCTGCAGATACAGACAATCTCACTGACACACACAAGCTCATTGATACACAGCCTCATAGACAAACAATGTCACTGATCTACATAAGCTCATTGGCATAAAAACACAAGCTCACTCACTCAATAGCAGGCACACACACACACACGCAAGCAAGCTCACTCACTAGCAGGCGCACACACACACACACACACACAGCTTAATGTAGTGGTTCTGGTGTCTATAGCCTGTCCCTGCAGGCTTTTCAATGTAAACACTGACTTTTCCGAGAAATGGCAGTGTTTACATTGCTTCCTAGTGACACCTCTAGTGACAGTCACTCAGACAGTCACTAGAGGTGCTTCCTGTGTCAGTGCTGCACAGTGTGATTGCACAGTGTGCAGCACCTACATTCAGGGACTTTGCTGCCAATCCTATGGCAGAGCATTGGATTGGCTGAGATAATCAAGCTTGATGATCTCAGCCATAGAGGCAGGGCCAGTCGAGGGGAGAAAAAAAAAAACACACACATACACCACGGCACAGACACACACACACACACACGACACAGACACACCATGACACAGACACACCCACCATGACACAGACACACCCACCATGACACAGACACACCATTACACAGACTGACACAGACACACACCATGACACAGACACACACACCATGACACAGACACACACACACAATGACACAGACTGATATGGACACACACCATGACACAGACACACACCATGACACAGACACACACCATGACACAGACTGACACAGACACACACCATGACACACCATGACAGACAGACACACACACATACACTCACACTGACGGAATGACACATATTACCTGTGGGTGACCGGCTGGGTGTGCTAGTGGCCGCAGGGGGAGCTCTGATGGCTGCAGAGGAAGGTGTGCTGGCGGCCGCAGGGGGAGGTCTGATAGCTGAAGAGGGAGGTCAGCTGGCGGCCGCTGGGGGAGCTGTTCTGTCTCTGCTCCCCCGCCCTCGCGCGCAGCTTAATGAGACCGGGGAATATGACATCATATTCTGGCCCCGGTCTCATTAATCTGCGCGCTGGGGAGCAGAGACAGAACAGCTCCCCAAGCGGCCGCCAGCAGACCTCCCCCAGCGGCCGCCAGGTGTCTGCCCGGCCCCAGGTGCCGACGGCCCACCAGGAAATTTCCCGGTATCCCGGTGGGCCAGTCCGGCCCTGCATATAAGCAACTTAGTTTGCCAGAATGGATTGACAAGAGGTTTGACCAATTACATGTGCTGTATCTCCTGTCCAATCAAGAGGTAGAAAAAAAGGATAAGTGATAGAAAAAAGATAATTGAGGGTTAGGGGACAGCCACTAAATTTCGATTATATTCACAGATCTAGTGGGAAATAGCCAATAGAGGGGAAAAAGGAGGAGCATTAAAAAAAATCTATATATTTTTTCTAGCAGGGTTCTGCTTCGATTTTAATTACTAATGAGGAAAAATTCTGTGTATAACCATTACTATGCTTGTGTGGGAGTGTCACTGATCCAAGACTGCTGAGACTGGTGAGGTGGTTAGGTTACTGCCTAGCCACTACTACTGCCATGTACGCTAACTTTAACTCAATGATTTGTGATTTTTTTTAATTTCTAGTGAGATACGGATTATTTGATTTGCCGAGTGGCTATTTAATGGATAGATAACAAAACACTTAGCTGTTTTCGCCTTCAGTTGTTAAACCCATCTCAGAAGTATGATGTGTGAGCCAGTATGATGCTCTGATGCCCCTTTTTGTTTGGGCCGAGTTACAACATCTAAAATAGAGATTGGTGGTGAGTCACAGTTCCAAAGAATAAACGCAGAGTATACTGTAGTGTTTTCTTTACTCAGCTCTCATTATAACTCTTGATGATAATGTAAGGATTATCTATGACAGTCAATAGATTTTATTTGCTCTAAAACAGTGACATTGTTGTTCAACAGTCAATAACATTCTAGATTTTAAGAAAAACAAGTGTTAATTTGGCCAGTTGGATGAAAAATTAATAGGCAGATTGTCCGATTTCCTGAATATTTGAACCAGGAAACCCTAACATGATCCAGGTATCAGACTGTCAGGAAACGATCCTCAGCATATATAAGTCAGCAACCAAAAGGAACAGAGAGAAAGGAAAGACAGGTATATTACCGAACCTCAGAGTGGGCAAGTACAATGTTTAGGCAGAACTAGGGAGTGATGGCATTAAATAGTAACAAAATACGGCCCGGACAAGCTAATAAAAGTCAGGAGAGACCAGGTACGGTACATTGGAATCACAAGGCTAAGGCAAAACTCAGAGTCAATGACATAGCCAGGTCTGGTACAAGCTCAAAGTCAGGGACATAGTCAGGGCAGGAACAAATAATTAGGAACAACAAAAAAATACTGTTAAGAACTGTGAGACCATGAAATGACACTGGCCCAAACGTGACAGAGGTGAAATAGGACCATGTTCTTGCATCACTGTTTGAATAATTCAGGAGAGAGGACAGTACAAAAGAATAAAAAGGCATGAAAGGTTCAGTTTGCGTAGTTTTAGGTTTTATCAATGCCAGAATGACACAACTGAATTAATGCAGATGCATCAAAATTGCTGAGTTAAAGCGGCACTGTCATGCCGAACTTACCTTTTCCCAATTGCTTCCTTTTCTCTCCCTCTGTCAGGATCTGTTCTTCATTTCGTCCTGTTTTCTTTAAAACATAAGACAAAGTAGGGACTATTTGTCTTATATAGGTTTCCTACGCCTGCCCATCTATGACCAGCGGAGGAGCAAAGTGTGCTCCATTTCCTTTAGTCAGAGAAATTTTCCCACAATTCTCACCTTTCCTCTGTGTTCTTGCAATGCCTCCTTTCCGTATTCCCGAACGCTGGCAAAACTACCAAATTTCGCCCTAACAGAATGAGAGCAGTTCGTCCATTCGTGTTTGGACGAAATTCTGGACTTTTGTTTTGTTCGAAATTTCATTAAAATAAGTTAAATTCCGATCCGATCCGTGCTGCGGCTGCATCTTGCAGCTGCTTAGTAGATAGCCCCCTAATTCTCACGGTATAAGGGAGCTATCTACCAAAAGGCTAAAAAAGACCAAGATTTGTCTTTCAGCCAAATTTACTAATACCAACTAAAAATGACTTTTAGTAATAAATCTGCCCCTATTTGCTATATCGCGAGTAGGGGCATGTCTAGTAAACAGTCAGCAGCCTGTGGCTTCCTACATTGAAAAAAGTGTTAACAACAATACAACGTGCACTTTGCCTTTAAAACCAACAATTTTGTATATGTGATTTCATCAGTGATACTCGAATATAACCTTCAAAATCACAAAAAAATATATATCAACCACATAAAGTGCACTGTGTCTATGTGATCACCAACAAAAGGAAAACAACATTACATTAATAGTTAAGAATATTTAAGAATATCTCCATAAAATTGTACATACAAAAAAAAAAAAAAAAATGGATGTACTACAAATAAGAAGGAAATGTTACTGTTAAGAAGCAAATGCTGGTTATATTAATAACTTGTAATATATGTTATTCTGTACTGTTGAAAAAAGTGTTTCCCAATGAAAATTATGTGTAAGCTCGTGCTAAGACTACCTTTCATCAGCCAGCAATCAAAAGAAAGTTACCGTAGCAGCAGACTGTGAGGTCCCTGTTGAACTGGAAAATGCACTTGTGACCGTGTCTCATAGGAGGTTATGTATAAGGAATTATTCTGGGACAAAGTTCTAAAAGTGAAGCAGTAAGCAGGTACATTCCATTGGCTTCCATGGTTACTGGTCAACATTTAGAACAGGGGTTCCCAAATGGTAGATCCCCAGATGTTGTAGAACTACAACGTCCATGATGCTTTGCGTGCCTTTAGAATGGCAAAGTATCATGGAAGCTGTAGTTTTAAAACATCTGGGGATCTACCTGGTTTAGACTTACTCTTTGTACATAACTCCCATGGAGTTTGGCGAGATGATTCCACTGACAAAAAAATGTTTTTCACTTTTAAGAGATTATGGGTTGTTGATGGTTTTTTTTCACTAAACTAGTATTCTGGTGACTTGAGAAATAATAGCAAATTTTAATCTGAATTATTTGAACTGAAATCATTGCTGCACATGATAATTTTACAGTTAGGCTATGTTGGCCTATAATTTGCAATTTC